TGCAGAAATGTTCATACTACAAAAAAATTACCTACAGATTTAATGTGATCTATCAAAATTCAATGTCAATTTTCACAAAACTGGAAAAAAAATGGTCTTAAAACAGATATCAATACAACCTGATTTCAAACTATATTACAAAGCTGTAGCAACTAAAACTACTGGTACTAGCACAAAAATAGGCACATCTACCAATAAAACAGAATAAAGAATGAAAAGTGAATCTGTGCATTTATGGTCAATTAATTTTTGACAAAGATGCCAATAACGTACAACGGGAAAAGAATAGTCTCTTCATTAAAGAGTGTTGGGAGCACTGAATAGCAGAAGAATGAAATTGAATTCTTATCTCACACCATGCACAAAAATCTACAAAATAAATTAAAGCTGGGCTCAGTAGCACACACCTGCAATCCCAGTGACTTGGGAGGCTGAGGCAGGAGGATTGGCAGTTAAAAGCCAGCCTCACCAACTTAATGAGACCCTAAACAACTTAGTGAGACCCTGTCTTAAATTTAAAAAAAAAAAAAAGTTTTAAAGACTGGGGATGTGGCTCAATGGTTGAGCACTCCTGGGTTCAAACTCTGGTACCAAAAAAGAAGGAAAAAAAGACTTAAACATAAGGTGTGGAGCTTTGAGACTATCTACCAGAGGAACACATATGGGAAAGCTTAATGACATTGCTGTGGACCATTTGGATATGATCCCTAAAGCACAGGCAACAAAAGCAAAAGCAGACAAGTAGGGTTACATCAAACTAAAAAGCTTCTGCACAGCAAAGAAAACCATCATCAGAGTAAGGACTGGGAAAAAAATATTTGCAAGTCATATATTTGATAAGGGATTAATATCCAAAGTATATAAGAAACTCAGAGAACCTCAAAACAAGAAAACAAATAACCCAATTAATAACATGCAAGGAAACTAAATACACATTTCTCAAGAATACAAATGGCCAACGTACATGTAAAGAGAAGCTCAGCACCACAAATCACCAGGGAAATGCAAATCAAAACCACTGAGAGAGCATCTCACACCTGTTAGAATAACTGTTATCAAAAAGATGAAAGTTGATGAATGTTGGCAGGAGTGCAGAGAAAAGGGAACCCTTGCTGTTGGTGGAAACATGAATTATTGCAGACATTATAGGGAAACTGTGTGGAGGTTTCTCAAAAAACTAAAAGTAGACCCATACCAATAGGATCCAGCAATCCCACTTCTGGACATTTATCCAAAGGATTTGTTATCAGTATGTCAGAGAGATGTACACACCCATGCTTACTGCAGCTCTATTTATAATAGCCAAGATACAGAATCATGCTCAGTGCCCAACACAAGAAGATGGATATGGAAAATGTGGCATATTTACACAATGGAATAGCATTCAGCCTTAAAAAAGGAAGAAAATTCTGTCATTTGTGAAATGTGGATGTACGTGAAGGGCATTAATGCTGAATGAAACGCGCCAGGTACAGAAAGACCAATACTGCATGATTTCAATCCATACAGTTAACTCCTGGAAGAGGCTGGGAGTAGCAGAAGTGAGGAGATGTTTGTCCAAGAGTAACAAAGTTTCAGTTAGACAGGAGGAGTGAGTTTAAGATCTATTGCATGGCATGGTGACTGTAGTTAATAATAACATATGTGCCATGGCTGGGGTTGTGGCTCCGTGGTAGAGCACTTGCCTAGCACATATGAGGCACTGGGTTTGATCCTCAGTACCACATAATTAATAAATAAATAAATAAAGTTATTTAAAATAATAATAAGTATTCCAAAATTGGTAAGATAGTAAGTTTCAAATATTCTCACCACAAAGTAAGTATTCAAAGTGATGGATAGGTAGACTTGATTCAATCATTCTACATGTCATAATATTGTACCCCATAAAATCATACAGTGATAATTATAATAATTTGTCAGCTTATCATAAAAAAAATTTAAGATAGTATACTATAAAATAAAAGGCATAAACTTGAAAAGTTACTGGATCACTCCAGACCCTACGTTGCAGATCCCCAAACCCACAATGAAGCAGAGAGGACTTGGGGGGAAATCCTTGTTTATTGACACTTGGCAATGATTTCACTCAATTTAGGAACACTGTGAAAATATGAACAAGATGATGTGCAGGTTGTTGGCTGAGAAAATTATAACTCACGAATTATTTATATAACTATTAGATCATAATAGATCGTAAGAGAAAATGTTCCTGCTCTTAGCAGAAGCACATTCTGCTCTCAAGGTCTGTCCTCATGCCCCATGCCATCTTTACTGTACCTATTTCTCTTTCTATATTTGCACCCACTTTCAGGCCTTTTCCTTCCTGTTTCAAATCTGGTAAAATTTAGTCTGTTTCCATGAAGAGCCCAGGAATGGCGTTTCTTTGCCCATGGGCTAGCCTATGGGTCAGTCACAAGGGCCAGGAGGACGGAGCCTGCTGAGTGACTCAGCTCTGGCCCTGTGCTGCAGAGCCATCGACCTCACCAGAAGTATGTGCACAGAGGTGGAGGAGGGCTGGATCCCCCAAGCAAAACCAGGGCATTGTTGCCAAAGGAAGGTAGAAGATTGTCAGCAGCAAAGACAGCAGATGTCCACAACAAACAACATGAGACTGAGATTTTTCTCATGTGGACATTGAATGCCCCAGGTGGTAGGTATCTTCCCCGAGGTCACACAGCTAGAAAGTGGCAGGGACTGGATTTGACCCCATTCATGTGTATGACAGGCAGAAGGAATGGGGGGTGTTTTGCAGGCCAACTACAGTCTGGAGGTGCTGTAAGCAGACTGGTGAATACTCAGAGGCAAGAGGCAATGGGGGAACAGGGCATCCAGAGAGCCTCAAGGCATATGCCAAGTGCGATGGTTTGGATATTAAATTCCCCAAAGCCTGTGTACTAAAGGCTTGGTCCCCACTTGGACATGATTGGGAGTAGGTGGGAAATGCAAGAGATGGGGCCCCATGGGAGACCTTTAAGTCCCTGGGACATACCCTCAAAAGGGATCATGGGACCCATCTTTTCCTTCTTTGCTCTCTTATACTTTCTGGCCAGCAAGTAAGCATGGTTTTACTCTGCCACACTCTTCTCCCCTATGACACTGCCTCACTAAGCCCAAGAGCAACTGGGCCAATTAATCATGGACTAAAACCTGTGAAACATGAACCAACATAAACCTTCTCTTTTTATAAGCTGATTGTTTCAGGTATTTGTTGTAGTACCATGAAGCTGACTAGCACATCAGGCTGAAAAACAAAGGAAGAGCTCAGGCCCTGGTGTCACGTGGGTCCAGACTTTGCTATTTACCAGCTGATGACAGTAGAAAGGACTTAACTGGTCAGCTCACTGTCATCATCTGCCATATAGTGATCCATGCTTCATGGGACTCTTGGGGGAGTAAGAGCAATTAGCATATAGAAAGGAGTTGCAAGGTGCCTGGCCCATCAAGCTCAGAAAAGGGTTGATACTGATGTTTTGAAATAGTAGGTCACAGAAGACAACAAATGGGGAAGCTCATGGGAAAATAAGATGGAAAATTATCCATGGGCTTGATTATGCTAAAGATGTTAGCTTTTATTCTTCAGAAAATGAGACTGGTGGAAGGATTTTCACTAGAGGGATGACTTCTTCAGTTATTATTTTCAAAGATCACTCTAGCAGCAATGTGAGAGCTAGCTCACATTTCTCTCTCTCTCTCTCTCTCTCTCTCTCTCACACACACACACACACACACACACACACACACACCAGGAAGGAGGAGCTTTAGAGACCAAATCAGCCAATATCTTGATCTTGAATTTCCCAACCTTCAGAACTGAGAAGGAAATGTCTGTTGTTGAAGCCACCCAGTCTGTGGTATTTTGTTATAGCAGCAGAACTGAGTCACTCAGCATCAGGAGATGGCCCTCAGGGAAATGCATGGAAGCCAGTCCAAGCAGTGCCCATTCAGTCCTCAGTACTGTGAGCACAGCCTGCCTTTGTGGAAGAACCACACAAACATTCTGAATCCAGCCACCATCCAGTGGGAACCCCCAACCCATGCACAGCTGCATCCCATTGGCTCTGGAACTCCCAATTTTGCTGACTTAAGTCAAATTCCTGGTGTTGATAATAAATTCTCATTTCAGTGGCCCACTCATTGCATGTCCATCCTATGGAGAAACCATAATTCAGCCAACTATTTCTCCTATTCTCACATGTTTACACTGTTTCCAAATTTCTAGTAGTAAATGTAATACATCAACTGAACATTGGAACATTTCACACTTCATTTTTCTTGGGTTCAAGATATCAACTCTTAAGCACTACTCCCCTCTCAAAAGATGAAATTAGAGTTCATTTGACAAAATTCAACAATTGTGGATTTAAAAAAAAACTTTCAAAAAAGATAATTTCCTTATGATGAAAAGTACCTGTCAGACACCCCAGCAAAATCTTAAGGATACCGTTAAGGCACTTCAACACTGGAATTTCTAAAAGGAAAAAAAAAAATTTAAAGGAAAGAAGAGAGGCATCTTCCGGGATGTAAAGAAATCTATAAACTCAATATCCTTTGCTTGCTTGTTTCTGTTTTGTCTTATTGTTGTTGTTTCATGGTACTCGGAATCAAACCAGGGCCTCCTCACCCATGCTAGGTAAGCATTCTACCACTGAGGTACAGCCCTATCCCCAGTGCTTTTATTTATTTATTTATCTAATTATTTATTTTGAGACGGTGACTTGCCAAGCTGCCCAAGCTGAGCTTGAATTTGTGATCCTTCTGCCTTCACTTCCTGTAAGTTCAGCTTTTAAGGATGGTACCATGAAGATACATATATTTTTAGATGGACACGTTTTGGATCCCCAACATTCCCTTTCTACGAATGTAACAGGAAAACAAGCAAGGCTATGTACATAGATGCATTTATGAGACTGCTCTCCCCAATGCCTCAACAATCAGAAAACCCGTTTGACAACAAAGTATTGATTATGTGTATTCTGGCAAGAACACATCACTGAAAATGGTGCTGTAGAAAAGAATTTATTGGAAAAACAGCTAAAACTAGTATGCTCAACATACATTTTTTTGCAGATAATTGTGCACACACACGCACACACAGGCACACTAGGATGTGTTAGAAATATCTATGCCAGAATATCGATGATTCCTTGTGCTTTGTGTCTTCTAAATCTTCTAAGAGATGTATTACTTTTCTGATTAGGAAAAATAACATACTTTAAATACTACCTCAAATGACTGCTATAGACAGCAAAGAAAGTAGTTCAGAAACGTAAAGAGATTCTAATGGGAGACAGCAGCAGCTGCACACTTGGTCACAACTCTCTATTCATTTAGACTCCTCAAGACCATGAAGTTCAATTGGATTCTTATTGTTCTATTTTATTAAAACAAAGGAAGAGGGTAGGTCTAAAGGATAATCTACATGTGTGCACGTATATGTTCACGCACAAATACACACACATCCTGTTTAGTTACATTTAGGAACCAGTGATTCTGCCAAGTTGAGAATGGGTCACGGATACCCTGCAACCCAGTGATTGGACTGGGGGGACATAGACCTCACTGGGCTGGTTCCCTGGTTCACGTGACCAAGTGGGAGCAGAGGAGGGAGTGACAAGAAGAGGAAAGGTCACCACAGCGTTTCATGCATGTACTCAGACAGAAAATGCAACCACCACCACACAATGGGAATTTTTATGCATATGTCTTTGTAATCAGTACAACTCTTCAGGACAAAAGAGACCAAAAACTAAAAAAAAAAAAAAAAAAAAAAAAAAACAGGAATACAGGATTTTAAACAGTTACAGCCCATAGGTCAACATTACAAACTAGGTTTAGATCATCTGGAGGCTTTTTAAAGAGGACTGAGGTGCAGAATTGACTCCCAGAAAAGGTGCCGAGAGGGTAGACTTATCTAGAATAAAGGAACTGCTAATCATTAAGAACTTCTGGTGTTTGCATACAGTCCAATACGTGGGGAAGAGAGCAAGTCCGTACTGGTCTTGGTACATGCTGAGTGGTAGAGGCTACTGCACATTTCTTTATTTTCTAAAGTAGGCAAGACTCGTAAGTTGGTGGATTCACATCGTGATTACTTGGTACCAGGCATGCATGTTTTATTGGTAGAGAGTGCTTTAACAGGAAAACTGCTGGATTTAAAAAATTCTGACAAGGTCAGTTTTACCTCAAAGGACTGTCACCCTTCCAGTTGCTCATTCATCCAACCAATAGTTATCCCAAACCATGTGCCAGCTTATCTGTCCTCTCCTCAGGAAGGCCAGCCCCAGAGTGAGTGAGAAGAGACCGTGATAGGGCCAACACTAAGATAGCCGGTGGACAGCTCCCCCTCACCACCCGTCAACCCCAACCAGGAGACAGCGATCCGACTCCTGAGAAGAAAGAACAATTCCCTGTTCAAGCTGAACAACCTTCAAGGGGAATGTGACCATTGTGAGGCATGTGGGACTGGGGGGAGGGGAAAGAGGTGGAACCATTCTTATCTGCAAAACTTAACAGATGGGAGAAAATCATGCCATTTACTTAACTTTGTTAAATGCAGTGGGTCTCAATTCCTGGGGGTGGTAGGCAAAGTCAGCCCGACTCTCCACCCACTCCCTTCCCAGGGAAACAAACAGGCTGTGGGTGTAGCTGCTTGCTAAGAAGCTGCATGCAGATGGCACAGACTCAAGGCTCAAACTGCAATCACTTGTTAGTCATGCTTCCCATCTTCAGTTCCTTTGGGAGTAAAAATACCACAAAGGGGGAAAAAATGGCTTTTCTCATGGTATATGTCATTCTTACGTTTTCTGTTTTTAAAAGTCCACATAACCACACTCTATCTTATTATAAAAATCAGTACCTCTCCTAGTTAAAAAAAAAAAAAAACCTTCTCTACAATTATAGCTTTGGCTTCAGAATTAGCAAACCAATTAGATCAAATTCATATTCATGGCATCAACAATATTCCTGTAAGCATGCCAAGGTCTTTCAGAGGTGAAGATAAAGATGTCAATCCATTCTTCCAATGCTGGTCAGGAGAAGGGGATTGAGGACTGATCCATTTGTTCAGCCAAAGGGTGGGGACGTGAAGCATTTTAAAATGAACTACCTTTTCAGGGTAAAGAGGTCAGAGCTGGTTTTTTGAAACATCATCACAGGACCTGAACATCTAGAGAGAAGTCCTTGGAGCCTTGGAGTCAGGAGAGAGTGTGAATGGCTTCCCAGTCTTGGTTGGTTCAAGCTCTGTAGTCAGTGTTATCTGTGCACAAAGAGCACTAAGCCCACCTACTGCACTGGCTAAGTTTCCACGTGGCTAAGTCACAAGGAATACCGAAGTATTTACCTCGAGTAAATTGAAGTGCTATATCACCTCTGTGTGGCTCAGAGTTCCCAAATGCATAGTGGAGACAAAAGGTGCTATCTCTGACCCACTGGGACCAGGGCAGGAGTGGAGTGGGTGAGAGAGAGCTAGAAAGCACTGGGTCCTTCTCCAGAGAAAGGCGGCAGTGTTCAAGTAACAAAGTACTCCAATCCAAAAAAAAAAAAAAAGCACAAAATTCAAGTAACAGAGTCGCAGGTGCTATGTTCTGGCTTTTGAGCAGAGGCTGTGTGCACCTGCCATGGAGAGCTGGTAGGTAAATGAGCTGCATGGCTGAGGATGCAGAAGCTCCTCCCTGCAGAGCCATTGAGTCCTCTGTACCACTGAGGACTCATGCTCTTCCGGAGAGGAGAAAATAAACCTGGGGTGGGGAAGCTGAGTGGAATTAGCAAGCAGTTCAAGGTGACTGTTTAATGCATATTAACTTCTGTTCTCTGCATATAACCTTCAATTTGGTTATCAACCTAAATTTTAACAGATTAAAGGTTTTCTTCATTTGGCAGTAGAAACAGAAAAGTTACCAATTTTTCTCCTATGCTTTAGTGTAAGAATTAAAAAAAAAAAAACAATTTGGAGACAGGTACTGAGGGAAAATCCACACGCACAAAACGTCCCCTCCACCACCCCCAATAGAGCAGGAAGAAGAAAATCAGGAAGTTTTTGTAAATGAGAAACTTATTTTCTTTTTACAGTTTTTCTGTTCTAGCAAACTGGTGTGTGCATGCTTGGGTAACACCTAGAGAACTGGAAGGTTTTGGGGTTTTTGTCCCAGGGATCCTGAAAGGCCCTCAGGACAGGACAAAAGAAGTCTTAACAGTCTAGATATAATCTTTTCTAAATAGCTCACAAGGAAAAATTGGGAAAACTTCACACTTTAAAACCACAATATCAATTCTGTCATGAAAGTCCACTCCATCAGTTCTCCAGTGGAGAGAAAACATCCCTACTCCAGTTCCATCATAAAACTCTCCATTCCCAGTTTTATGGAATGTTGTTGCTCATCTCTGAACCTCCTTATTCAGCTTCACTGGCAAATGAAACCGGACGGGTGCAGCTGGAACCCTTACACAGCGCGCAGAGGCGAGTCCAGCACGGTGGCCAGGAGACATCATCGTTTTTTAGTGCCACTATTCCCGCCGCTGGATTTGCTGAAGCTCCTGCTCATCTGAGGAAAGTGCATGGTTGGGGTTCTTTCTGTTGGACCATATAATCCCAAGTTCCTGGCAGTGGCTGATTTCCTCAGTGGCTTCACACTGGGGAAAGGGCTAAAGATGGGGGTTTTTGAGTGGCTGCCTTGGGGAGGTTTGCTGGTGGCTTTGATTTCTCCGGGGGCATCAGGTAGCTCTGGAACATGCCGTTGGCAGGGCGGGTGCACCTTGGGCTCAGTTTCAACAGCAGCATCCCTTTGGTTCAGTTCCAAGGCTTCTAACTTCACCTGAACCGCAGACACATCGACATCGGCGTCCCCGAACACGGGCTCTGGAGACTGTCCTTCAATTGTCCTACCGATGCCACCTTCAGAGCTGCTGCCTTCTTTTGCAGCGGGGGCTGCACACCTGGAGGAAAACTCCTCTGATGCCCCCAGGCTGTTGGTCTTACAGCCCTCGTTCTGCTCCTCGATCAGCCCTATGGTGTCCCCACAGCCCTGGTGGCTCTTGCTCCTCGGCATGTTCTTCTTGTGGACTCGGATGTGAGTTCGCCATGGAGAGTTGAGCTTTGTTTTAAGATCTTCATAGGGGACAGGAGACAGTTTGCCTCCTGCATGACCAGGGATGTGAATGACTGCATTCTTGGCAGCTCTGTTCGTCATTTTCATCTTCTTCCCTAAAAGGAGGTGGTTTATAACTGGAGAATTGTTTACCTGAGATGGGAGAATGCTGGTCACTGGTCCTTTGTCTGAAAGAAATGGTGAAAGGCCGTTTGAAACACACTGCAGAGAAACACCCCCCACCTCTAGAGTGACCACACGGAGGTCTTCCCCGAGCCCTTTCCAGAACCATGTGACCGAGGGCAGCAGAAACTGAATTCAACCCTAGTGTCTGGGGTGCCCATTTCCCTCCTGTCAAAGAGGCAGAAACTGGAGGGGGAGGATACAAAAAATAAATTAAAACTACAGGGACTTTGCCGAGCCATCATTCCTCATGACAGCCCAGACTCTCTAATGTCTTTTACAGACAGCTTTTGCTCTCAGGAACAACCTCAGAGGTCCTAGATCTGGAAAACCTTGGGAAAAACTTTTTTTTTTAAATAATTCGACAAACATTATGACCATATGGATAATCAGTTGTCAGCTTCTTCGAGGTAAGAAGAGAATGCACAGCATATTATGAAGTGAGAGAGATGCTAAGAAGGTAGCAAAACTGCAGTGGAATCACCGCTGCCAAGGTGAAAAAGCACTGAGGGGTTTTGAGATGAAAACCTAAGGATAAAGAGCCACTCCTGTGTCTCAATGGACTTTGACAGCCAACTGCAAACTGGAAAGCACCAAGAGCTTTGTTCTCCTGGAGAGCACTGTGGCTAGCTAGTGTGGTACCTCCTCCAGAGGCTCTTATCAAGTTCCCTTTCTGATACAGTATTAAACACAGAAGGCCCCAGGAAGGTGGTAACAGCCAGAAGTAGTCTGGAGAAGGTCCCTCCATCTGTGTATGGACATCCTTCTACCTTGACATCCACATCATCTGGCTCAATTCTCTCCACTCTTCTCTACTGTTGTCATATACCTCTGGTCACACCTCAGTCTTTAATGAAAACTGACAACTGTCTGTTCTTCATCTCATGTCCTACTTACCGCAACAGTTTTGTTGTTGTTGTTTTTAATGTCTCTGGGTTTTTTTGTTTGTTTTGTTTTGTTTTTTTTACTGTCTCTGTGACTGGCCCAACCATTACCTATTCTCATAGTTCCTCAACCTCTCCAAATCCATCTTAAAGCTTATTACCCAGCTCTGCCTTACATGAAAAATATTTAACTCTAATATTCCTCTCTTTGACTCTTCTAGCTCTTAGGCCCTCAATCTAATTATACCCGGTACTGAGCCACAGAGACTTCCGGTTCCTGGATACCTCGGTCTTCTCATAATCTCTCATGTATCTTTGTCTCACTTGCACCCCACCCTGCTAGAAACCAGACTGATCTTTTGACCACTGTCTCACCGGTACCCCACAGTCCAGACCTCCCTTTGCCTCTATCACACATCCTGACAAAACTCCCACCCTCAATCCAAATTCCTCATTTTCCTTCCTGAAACAGAGCCCTTCAAATTCATGACTTTCTATTTTGCTGGGTCCTCAATGATGCCAAACAATCTTTTTCTTTTCCTCTACCATTCCTTTCAACCCAAATCTTCATTACTTTCCTTAAGCTCCCCCTCACTCCCAACCCACAACTCATTCCAGCAAATAACAAATAACCCCCAATTTCTCCATGAAAGCAAAACTCTGAAAAGGCATCAATTTCCTATCCTCCCTAAACCAGGAAGCTAGAACTGCAACCACCTCTTTCCACTAAGTCTCAGAAGCTGCAGTCTTTTGCCTCCAGGTGAGGTTCATCACTCCTCCTGCGTGGTTAACCATATCATGTGTCATCTCCTCTAAAGCCTTGCTACTCAGAGTGTGGGCCCTACCCAGAAGCAGCACCCACATCACCTAGGAGCTTGTTGGAAATGCCTAATCTCAGCCGCCCTCCAAACCTACTGAAACAGGAGAGCCCCAAGTGGTTGATATGCACACTAAGTTTCAGAACCAATGCTGTAGAATTTGGCATCTGAGCAAGAATCCTCCCTGCGGAAGAACCACATAAACCATGATCTAGAGCAGGTAACAGTAAGCTTTTCCTGTAAAGGACCAGATTGTAAATACTTTAGCCAAGGTAGTGTGAAAGCAGCCTCAACATGTAAGCAAATGAGTGTACTGGTGTTCTAATAAAATTGTATTCATAAATACAGGCCATGGGCAGGATATGGCCTGTACACCACAATTTTCTGACTCCCTGACAAAAGCACAAGTCACTGAATCAATTTAACATCCAACAGCAATTGTTCACTATCCCACCCAAAGATCTGTACAGTGCCCTGAAAAAGGACTGCATGATGAATCAGAACACCTCGGCTCTAGCCCTGGCCTGACCGCTCGTTACAGCTGTAAACCCAGGACAACTGTTAAGGCTTCCTCAGAGATTTAAGAAAAAATAAGAAAACAGGTGTGCCAGTGTTTTAAAAATTAAAATAGTATCATTGCTAGTTTCCTTCATGATTGCTTTCTTAATGCTTCAAGTGCAGCCTCTTCCTCCTGATAACTGGAAGGTGAATTCAGTTTTTGTGCCAGAGCAGTCACATGCTCCCAAGCCATTTATATCGCAGTTAATTCTGGGCAGACATCAATTTTCATTGGGATATTCACTTACAGTAAGAAAACCCATTCCCAAATCAGCATATATTAAACAATAAAGCAGATTTCTGAGATTTGGAGAATTAAAAAAAAAAAAGATGAAGCCTGACAATCCTTGGAAAAGAGCATTTCCATCTGCATTATAACTGTTCGATACATTCCCCAGACACTGCTAACTCATCAATGGATGCTTTTTTTTTCCATTTCCCCTGATGACAACATCTGCTATATTACTACCTAAATGACTAGTGTATAGTTTAATTTACCAGCACACCAATGACTAAATTCTATTTTCAAATGCATGAAATTCCTAAGATTCCTCAAGTCCAAGGATTGTGTGACTTTGCAACATTCTCATCATTTGTAAAACCCCTCTCCACAAGCCCACAGAGTAAAGATGTAGTACCATTGACTGCCTGCTTCTCAGGGCCTAAAAAGAACCCATGGTCTTTTTCTTCTTTAGAGCCTGATAAAAAAAAAATTTTAAATGAGATGCTAAATATGCTATTGTGTCTTGTCAGCTAAGTTCACGGAAACTGAGCACCAGTTAGTAATTCTGAGGCCCTCCGAAGGTTTCTTGTCCTTTGTTGCACAAGTTGAGATGGAACTGAAACTGACTCAAAGAATCCATTACCTGCCCTGATGTACACCTGGTGGACCTGCTGCTGCTGCTTCTTTTTGATCCTCGAGTATTGCCGCTTCAGGGCGCTGATGTCTGTGGTCATGCGTTCCATCATCATGCTGTTGAATGCCGCGTGGTATTCACTTCGACAGGAGTTGATGGCTCCTGGACTCAGCTCTGCAATGTTATTGGATTTCAGACTCTGCTCCTCATTTGGTTCTGCGCTCGGGGAAGACACACAAAGAGCAGGTCAGTGGAGAGGAACCAGGATTAAATGGGACTTAATTACACTAAAACACAGTATAGTATTTCAGGAAACTGTAAACCTCAAAAAAATGACTAGATGTTGTCCAGTCCTTATTTACTTATTAGCCGAAATCGAAATGAGCTGTGTGGGTTCATTGATTTTGTTACCACTTTGTTCATTATACAGACATAAAACAACTGCTTCCAGATAAAAGTCAATGTGATTTTCTAAAATCCCCTTAGAAAGATATACCACCAGATGTCTAAAATCATTGTGCAGATTTCCATACAACTGCAAGAGGATTTATAAGGGATTGACAGCTTCTAGAGTTTAGACATTCATTAAGAGTACATCTTCCTTAAATTAAAAATACACTGTACCTGCTAGAAATGAATGTTTTGTTCATTTAGCAAACACTTCCTGTCTACTATGCATGTTACGTGATGTGGTGTCTGCTCCTGTGACATCGACAACTTGCAGAGTTGTCCCTTAAATAAAATTGTGATTATATCCAAATTGGTTTCTAGACATGAAATCAATATTTTAAACTAGTGCTCAAGTTTCTGGCTGTGTTTCTATAATCTGGACCTTTGGCTCAGGCAATTACTGTAGCGAGAAAACACTCACAGTCTGTGCAGGAGAGAGAGAAGCAGGCTTTCCTAACACAATATGTCAAACTGAACTGGGAACCACCTAAAATAAGACTGAGAGATTTCAGCTATCCTAATATCTGCTGAGAATGTCTTTCAGATAAAAGCTGAACATCTCATAGATTCCCTTCTCTTCCTAAAAGAGAAGAAAATTAAAAGGGGAACTATTAATTTGAACAAAGTCAATAATAAAGACTAATGATAAAATTTAGGAGAAAATGATAGTGTCATCCTGGAGTACAAAAATGCACAGACAGAAAAACAGAACAAAGGCCCAGACTACAGAAATATAGTCAAAAACTTATATTTAAGATAGTTCCATATCTTGAAATAAAAAGCTGAAATTCAGGTAACAAGAAAGGGGGTGGAGGACTTTACCGAAATCAAGAGGAATTTTGTTGGATTCAAAAAGATGAAAGACAGCACACACCACGGACAAACACTCAAAGCAGTGTGAATGCAGCCATTAGGCAGGTTCAAATGCAAAACAAGCTGAGGCTTGGGGAAAATACACAAAACTCACACCAAAACAGCAACAGCAGCCACCACCACCACCTTCTAAATAAGAACCAAAAAATGAAAGGTGAGCCCCATGATTTCAAGAAGGCAGTACAGTGATGCACACCTGTAATCCCAGCAGTTAGGGAAGCAGAGTTCAAAGCCAGCCTCAGCACCTTAGCAAGGCCCTAAGGTCACTGAGACCCTGTCTCTAAATAAAATACAAAAAAGGGATAGGGATGAGGCTCATTGGTTAAGTGCCCCTGAGTTCAATCCCAGTACAAAAAAAGAAGGCAGTACAAAGTTAGCAGATGGCACAGAGACTGCAGAGGTGCCTCTGTCTCTGTTTTCAGTATATCTCTATCTTCTGTGAACAGAGAAAATGGACTTCCAACCAGAAGAGGTAGAATAAATATCCTAAGGAAGAGCTGCCATCAAATAGGAAAGAACTTAGTGGGGAGACCACAACTACTTCCAAAGAGCTCATTCACTGCTAATGCCCAGACCACAGGAAGTCTGTTCTGTGCAGGAAGTAAACATGACATAGCATTTGATCCAGAGCACCACATTTTAAGAGGGACATTACCAAATTATAGAACAGTAGAGGTAGATTAAGAGAATACTAAAAGGCCTGCAATCATATCGCATTAGAAATGCTTGAAGGAATTCTGAACTTGAGTCTTAAAGATAAGCTTTGGGGAATATGACAGCTGTCCTAAAAGATTTAAAGACATGTCAAGATAGAAGGGGGAGCAGACTTGTTCTGTTTTGTTACAGAGGGAAGAACTACTAGAACTGGTAGATGAAGCCTGACTCTTTGCAACTAGAAATCCTGAGCTAAGGAGAAGAATCTAGCAGAGCATCTTATGAAATAAAGAGTTTCTGATAATTCAAGAAATTAAAGTAGAGGTTACCATAATGTTTTGGGGTTAAAGATTTAGTCCCATAGGGGAAGAGAAGCCAGTCTATGATGGATTTCAATTAAACTCAGATGGATGTATTAAGCACCTACTATATGCCAGGCTTTGTTCTAAAGATCTAAGCACACAAAGTTGAATCAGATTAATGGGAAGCAACAGTCATCATAAAAAAAAGAAAAGAGGTATGTTCTGTATGCAAAACACAATACAGAGAGATCACATCAAATAATAAAGTGGATTTTGGTTTTTGTTTTTGCTCTTTTGTTGTTGTTTTTGTGGCACTGGGGATTGAACTCAGGCCTACCTTGCACATGCTAGGCAAGTGCTCTACCAGAAGCTACATCCCCAGCCCTGATTGTGAGTATTTCTAATAATTATTTTCAATGTCAATAACCAGGTTCCGGGAATTACTGAGGCACATGTAAGACCCAATGATAACTCCCCTTGTTACAGGGATCAACACATGTGATGATGTCATCAACAGCCAGCCTCTTTACCTTTCATCTGCTTTTGGTACTTCTGCAGTTCAGGTGCCAGGAGCCCACTGAAAGGTCCAAGACACCCTACTGCATCAACAATAGCATCTTCATCATCTGGGTCATTCTCCTCATCACTGTCTCTCACCTTACCATGTCGTCTTGGAAAACAGACAAGAAGAAAAAGAAACAGTCCAAGAAAATAGTGGTGATTTTCAAAGAAGTAAATACAGTCACATGGTTTAAATGACATATTTACATAATTATATGAATTACAGACTTCTTTCCATCCCTGCCAACTTCTGCCCAGTTCTTGCCCCACTTAATTCACACAAGTGATCTTTGCTACCAGTTTCTTATGTAGTCTTCATTTACCTAGGTATAAATATGCAAAGATAACTACATAGTTTAATTTTTTCCTCTTTTTGCAAAAATATTAGCATATTATACATATTCTTGTGTATCTTGTTCTTAATCATAGAAGAAATTTTTCCATATTGACATAAAAACAGATTGTACATATACAGCTTATGTTATGGAATCAAGCTGCTAATGGTACCTGATTGAGTTGTTTCCAATATTATACTATAGTAAACAATTCTGCAATAAATAATACTATACATACTGTGTTTTGCATGTATGAAAATAAATCTATGGAATAATCCATAAAGATAGAAACACTGAGGCAAAGGATATATGCATTCGTGATTTGGGCAAATACTGACAAATTGTCACAAAACATATAGTAATTAACCTCTCACAAGCAAAGTGTGTGTCTATTTCCTATAGCCTTATCAACAGAGGATATTATCAAGCTTTTAAACTTTTGTCAGAACTTTTTTTAAAATTTTTTTCCATATTTTTATTGGTACTTTATAGCTATACATGAGGGTGGGATTTGTTGTTTCATAATAATACATGCATGCAATATAATTTGGCCATCAGCATTCCTCAGTATTTCCCCTTTCCCTCACCTGGTCTCTTTCCTCTATTCTACTGAACTCCCTTAGATTTTCATAGGATACCCTCCCCTCAACCTTTCTTTTCCTTTTTCCTCTCTAGCTTCCACATATGAGAGAAAACATGCAACACCTTGACCCTCTGAATTTGGCTTATTTTGCTTAACATAATGTTCTCACATTTCATCCATTTTTCTGCAAATGACATAATTTCATTTTTCTTTATGACTGAATAAAACCTCATTTGTATAAAACCACATTTTCTTCATCCATTCATCTATTCATGGATACTTAGGCTGTTTCCAAAGTTTGGCTACTGTGAATTATGCTGCTATAAACATAGATATGCATGGATCACTCTAGTTTAATGACTTTAATTCTTTAGGCTAAATACTGAGGGTACAGTGGTTCCATTCTTAGTCTTTTGAGGAATTTTCATAGTGATTGTACTAACTGACAATCCCACCAACAGTGTAAAAGTGTTCCTTACTCTCCATATCCTCTCTAGAATTTATTATTGTTTGTATTCTTGATGGCTGCCATTCTGACTGGAGTGAAATAAAATCTCCGTGTAGTTCTGATTTGCATTTCCCTAACTGCCAATAATGTTGAACTTTTTTTTTTCATATATTTGTTGGGCCATTTGTATTTCTTATTTTTGAGAAGTATCTTTGTATAGTTCATTTGCTCATTTGTTAACTGGGTTATTTGGTTTTAGTGTTTTTTGAGTTCTTTATATATTCTAGATATTAATCCTTTGTCAGAAGAGTAGCTAAAAAAGATTTTTTTACCATTCTGCAGGTTCTTTCTTCACATTCTTAATTGTTTCCTTTGCTGTGCAAAAGCTCTTTACTTTGATGCCATCCCACTTATTAACTTTTAGCATTATTTCCTGAGCTTAGGGATCCTATTGAGAAAGTGGTTGCTTGTTCTATATAGTTTCTGGTCTAATTCCTAGGCCTTTGATCCATTTTGAGTTGATTTTTGTGCAGGGATTTAGTCTCATTTATTTATGGATAACCAGTTTTCACAGCACCATTTATTAAAACAGCTATCTTGGGCTGGGGATGTGGCTCAAGCAGTAGCGCACTCGCCTGGCATGCGTGCGGCCCAGGCTCAGCACCACATACAAACAAAGATGCTGTGTCCGCCAAAAACTAAAAATAATAAATAAATGTTAAAATTCTCTCTCTCTCTAAAAAAAAAAAAAAAAAAAAAAAAACAGCTATCTTTTCTCCAATGTATGTTTTTGGCACCTTTATCCAGAATCAGATGTCTGTGTCTGTGTATGTCTGTCTCTGTGTCTTCTGTTCTGTACCTGCTTTTATGTCAGTACCATGCAATATTTGTAACCATACCTCTATAGTATAAGTTGAAGTCAGGTATCATGATGCCTTCAGCATTGCTTTTTTGGCTTGGAATTGCTTTGGCTATTCTGAGTCTTTTATTCTTCCAAAGGAATTTTAGGATTGTTATTTCTAGTTTTGTGAAGAATGTCATTGGTATTTTGATGGGGATTGCATTGAATCTGTATATTACCTTTAGTAGTATGGACATTTTAATAATATTAATTCTGCCTATCCATGAACATGGGAAGTCTTTCTATTTTCTTGTATCTTCTTCAATTTCTTTCTTCAACATTCTATAGTTTTCACTGTAGAGATCTTTCACCTTCTGGTTTAGATTTATGCCTAGGGTTTGCTTTTTTGTTTGTTTGTTTGTTTTTGTTTGAGACTATTGTAAATGAGATGGTTTTCCTGATTTTTCTGTCAATCTGACAGATAAAAAACAATCTAAATTTCTAGTTTTACATAGTATTTCTCATAAACTTATTGATGCTTTTTGCCTATTCCTGTCATTTCATCACTTTTCAATTTGGTGGACATTTTTTTAAATTGATTTCTAATTTTTTTTTATATTAGAAATGTCCAGTCCCTATTTTGTGTATAAGTTAAAACAATTTTTTTTTACAAATCTTTTTGAGTTAGCTAATGAAGGTTTTGTTTTATTCTGTTTTGGTTTTGAGCATGAAGAAAATTATTTTTAAAGTGCTTAAATTTTTTTACCTTGTTTGAGTGAGTTAATAAGACTTTCTCAATTCCAAAGAAGTGGAGGAATTCTTCCACATTTTCTTCTGCTAATCATTTCAATTTTTTTCCATTTAACACTTTCATCCATATGAAATTCATTCTGATATATGATACCCAATATGATTCTACCTTACTTTCCAGATTTACCATTTACTAATTAGCATATCTTTTAACCATTGTTTTTTTTTTGGTTCTTTTTAGATATATATCACAGTAGAGAGTATTTTGACATATTATATGGATACAAAGTATAATTCATTCTAATTAGGATCCCATTTTTGTGGTTGTACATGATGTGGAGTTTCACTGGTGGTGTATTCATATATGTTATGTCCGATTTAGTCTACTGTGTTTCCTATTCCCACCCCCTATCTCTTCCATTTGCCTTTTTTTTTTTTTTTTTTTGACCATTCTTATTTCTTCTGTGAAGTGTCTGTTCAATTCCTTTGCTGGGATTGATTGGGTTGTTGGGGGGTTTTTTGTTTTGTTTTGTTTTTTGGTGTTAAGTTTTTTTAATTTTCTATATATCCTGGAGATGAATGCTCTGAATCACAGGTGGCAAAGATTTTTCTCCAATTCTGTAGGCTCTCTCTTCATGTTCTTGATTGTTCCCTTTGCTGAGAAGAAGCTTTTTAGTTTGATACAATTCCATTTGTTAATTCTTGATTTTATTTCTTGCACTTTAGGAGTCTTGTTAAGGAAGGCAGTTTATAAGCCAACATGATGGAAAGTTGGGCCTACATTTTCTTCTAGTAGGCACAAGGTCTCTGGTCTAATGCCTAGATCCACTTTGAGTTGAGTTTTGTGCAATGTGAGAGATAGAGGTTAAATTTCATTCTGACTACATATGGATTTCCAGTTTTCCCAGCACCATTTGTTGAAGAGGCTATCTTGTCTCTCATAAATATTTATGGCACCTTTGTCTAGTATGAGATAACTCTATTTATGCGAGTTTGCCTCTGTGTCTTCTATTCTGTACCATTGATCTACATGTCTGTTTTGGTGAAATTACCATTTGTGTTACTGTAGCTCTGTAGTATAATTTAAGGTCTGGTATTGTGGGCTTCTTATTTTTCCAAATCAATTTCATGATTGCTTTTTCTTATTTCTATGAGGAATGTCATTAGAATTTTAATAGGAATTGCATTAAATCTGTATAGTGCTTTTGGTAGTATGGCTATTTTGTATTCATCTCATTCCACCATCTTTCCCTCTCTTTATGATATTTTAAATTAGCTCATCTGCTTGTGCACACTAGTTCCATACTATCTTAATTATGAGAATTAAAGTATATTTTTAAATAAGTTAGGGGCTTGCTAAATACTCCTTCAGTGTATGTTCCAAACTTCTGTGGAAAGTACAGTTTTAGAAATCCCTCTTGAATTTAAATCAAATCTTTAGGAAAGAGCCATTCCAATTTTTAAAATTAAATTACTTAAGACCAAATTACTTCGTACATATTTCCAGGTCTTAATAAATATTGATTTATAATAACAAATTGAGGTGTTAAGTCTCAAATCATGAAAACAATAAGGAAGAAAAAAAAAAAAAACTTACCCAGAAACTGAAGTGGGTTTAGCTGTGGCTGGGAAGGGTGTAATGTTGTAGGTGTACTTTTCCCTCAACTCTGCCAGTTGTGGAAAAGGGAATGGTGCCATAGAATAAACAGTCTGAAAAACAAAAGTGAAAAATGTCAAGACTGAAACAGTGGCCTGATACAGCTATTATCAAGCCCAGAAAACACTAAAGTTTCATGAGATTGAAAGTGGGAGAGATTATACTTCAATATCCTCTTTAGAGAAAATAATACTGCAGATTGAGAATCTTTATTCAAAATCCAAAATGATCCTATCTGAAACTTTTTGAGCACTAACATGAGGCCACGAGTAAAAAACTCCACACCTGACCTCATTGCAACAGGTCGCAGGCAGAATGCAGGTGTGCTAAAAATATTACATAAAATTACCTTCAGGCTATGCATACAAGGTGTATGTGACATACGTGAATACCATGCCAAGACTTGGGTCCCAGTCCCAAGATTTTTCAAGATGCATATGCAAATATTCCCAAATTTGAATCATTTCTGATCCCAAGTACTTTGGAGCAGACTACCCAATCTGCATTGAAAAACACAGCAGTTGAGTCCTCAAATCCACCCAGCTGCAGCTGGGCACTCCAACTGGTGAACAGGGGTGGGCAAATGGAGGCAGTCCGGCTTCCTCCTGTCATTTGATAGATGGGATAACTCAGAGAGCTATGGCTCCTAACACCTCTGTATCAAAGAACCCATCAATGTCCTTCATATGTAGGGCTTTTTTTTTTCAGTGCTTTGATAATTTTTGTGGACATTAATGTTAACTTTCTAGATGCAGTTAAGTCTTACACATGATCTTGATCACAAGTTTTCTCCAAAGATACCGTCTTTTCAAATGTCTGTGAATGAGTTCTAGGTGAAAATTGTTAGCTGTTATTTTTTAAAAGGAGAAAGAAAAAAAGAAAAAGAAAAAAAGTGACTAAGGCAGAGACAATCAAAAACTATGAAAAAAATAAAAAGCATAGAGAAGCATCTACACTTCACCAGAATCTCAAAACTATGTATCATAATTTCAGCAAGAGTAGTCTTACTTGCCCTCTTAGTTTTGTTAACAATTATTCCAAACATATTACTTCAATCCTTCAGGTTCTCATTCACCAGCTGTATCATCCCCAAAGCAAAGGGGACAGTAAAATATTATGACCCCAAATGATGCCCCCTTTCTGTTCCTAAAATCTCACCAAGCTAAAGGAACAACGAGAGCAAGTCTGAGCTGGAAAGTCCAGATACTTATTATCTTTCTCTTATACACACTGGAACTAGGGCAAGTTAGTGCAGTGTTATCTGGACAAAGCTACTTTCTTGCATGTACCCCAGGACAGTTGCTCTTGGGGATACTAGTCAGACAAGCAAACTAATTAAGCAAACTAAGCAAGTGATGACGTCACTGTTTCTACAGCCTAAAAAATAAAACCTCTCTTGGGGGGGGGGCGGATGGGCACCATGGAATTGAGGGCACCATGGAAAGGATGTGTGTCACTTGTCCAGCTAACCACTGCAGGACAAAACACCGCAAAGGCGAAGGAGCACTGCTTGGCAAAGCACCGTGAGAGACAGGGATGCTGTCAACCTGTTGTCACCGAATTCTTCTTAGGAAACTGGTCTTGGTACAGTCACTGATCTGTCATAAGCTTTCCCCAGTAAACCATATGTCTCCCATGCTGTGTCTGGGCACTTTTTTCTGGGCTGTCTGCAATCTACTGCATTGCCTGGGCACAAACTGAGCTATGGAAAAGACACCAGCAAATGTGTATTATTCGTAGTTTCATTTTCCCAGGATGCAAATCAAGTATCTTATGACATTTTTCTAGGAAAATATTTTAAAAGTGCTATTTTTCATTTCAGCAGGACTGCTTCTCTGAGGGCTGATGTGTTTGCTCATGGGTAGGGAAACGAGGGCTTTGAAGGGAGTTTAGTTGTGCTGCTGTTTCACTTTGTAGTTCTGTGCACTGCTGTGACAGGTCATTCTAACAGCCTCCACATCTGACTGCCCCTCACCTTTGTGGTATCCACTTACACTTTACCCTAACAACCCAAGATCTCAAACAAATAAGTGTTGGCTAAAATTCCTTCCCTTCAATTTTTTATGCTTACTGTACAAAGCTACACAGCTCTTCAGGACCACAAAAGTCATCTCTAAGTTGTCTTTTTACATATGCTACATTTTTGATTGATTATATCCAAAAGGCTGAGAAGTGGCACAAAGTGTCTCTCACTTCCAAAAAAGAAACAGAAGACACCTTGTGGCTTCCATTTAGCCTGAAGTGTGAGATTACATCAGTTCCCAAATTTTTGGACTTCCTTTCCCTCATCTGAAAAGTGAAAAGTGTGAAACTCAGGACCAGGGTTACCTCCAAAAGGAGAGGGGGTAGAAAGGTCAGGGAGAAATATTTGAGGGTATTCACCATGTTATTAATGTTTTATATCTTAAGCTGGGTGTTGGTTATGTAGGTTTTGTTATACAATTCTTAATACATTCTGTGCACCTAAAATAATTCATATAATTTTATTAATAATGTGGTCAGAGTGAATGCCCATGTTCTTTGAGCTCACAAAAGTATCCAACAGCTACCCCTGTAGAACTCTCCCCTCCTTGCTCACGTGACCACATCTTAGCTCCATGCACTCCTTTGAGAGGAAGAAAAAGATGTGAAATTCTCTCCTTTGCACCCTAACTTTTGACCCAGAGAACAGTACCTCCTCTTGAACCTCAGTAGGAGCAGCATGTGCCCAAATATACTGACCACCATATACCAAACATGCTTCCATAGTTGGGGCAAGAGCCAACCCTCAAAGGAGAATGGGAGTGGGGAAGGGGGGCGGGAGGGAAAAGAAGGAGGGGGAAATGGAGGGTCATGAACCAAAATTGATTTCCACTCATGTATGAGTTTGTTGGGAAGAACCCAGCTACTATGTATAACTATAAAGCTCTAATCATCATCATCATCATCATCATCATCGTCATCAACCCGCCCCCTCATTCGTGTGATCTTCTTTCCTTAACAATTGAGAAACTTGTTTCAGGCATTTAAGAAAACCATACCAATCAGAATCAACTTTAAAAGTTGAGATTATTAAATAATAATAAGAAGAAGATGATTACTAAATGCTAGGAATTTCAAAATTCCTTACAAGTGAAATGTCTCGCTGAGGACAAAAAGTAGGGGGTCCAGTTAAAGATTTGCCTGTTTTATTTTTGCCAGTTTTGTAGCTGTATTAGAAAATTCCCTTGTCCAGCCTTGGGAAGGACGTTTGGAAGAGAGGAAAGGCAAATTCCTTCTGCCTCTCCTTCTCCCATCCTGCCCAGGGTGGATGGTCTCCGTTCACTAGAGCTGGACACCTGGCCAAAAAGGAAACTAGATCCACTGGGCATTCAGTCCCTTCCATTAAAGGCTTTCTCTTCTCGATTATTTACTTGTAGTTAGTTCTTTAAACAAGTAATCAGTGTTCCTGAAACAAACTTGTTTATAGTTCTTCACGTACATTCACTCACTTCCTCGAAGGGCTCGTGTGTCTGAGGCAGCACTGTCTCATGAGCCTAAGTATCCCTGGCACAACCTGCAGCACTCAGGGTACACAAAAACCTCTAAGCTTAAACCTGGGGCGGTGGCGCATGCCTATAATCCCAGCAGCTTGGGAGGCTAAAACAGGAGGATCCCAAGTTCAAAGCCAGCCTCAGCAAAAGTGAGGCACTAAGCAACTCAGTGAGACCCTGTCTCTAAATAAAATACAAAATAGGGCTAGGGGTATGGCTCAGTGGTGGAGTGTCCCTGAATTCAATCCCTGGTACAAATACAAAAAAAAAAAAAGAAAGAAAAAGAAAAAAGAAAGAAAAGAAAAACCCTCTAGGCTTCCAATTTATAAACTGAAGATTTTATAACAGATTCCAAATCTCTTAGAGCCAAAATATGTATAGTAATAGAATGCTAGGGTTCAAAGGAATTTAACATAATGTAATTCAACCTCGAACCCACACAGAAGCTTCTTCTAGCACATCTCCAACAGATGGCCTCAGAGGCGCTGCCTAAACACTCCCAGTGATGGGCACACACTAATCTGCAGGACAGATGGTTTTAATTCTTGACAGAACTAATTAATCAAACATTGTCTCTCTATTGAATAAGTATCCACATCCTTGGGATTTCTACCCAATCACTGACGGAAGAAAGCGAACAGTATGGGTCCAAGGGCATGTCTTGCCTCATATCACGTGAGAACTGCCTTCAGATACTAGAAAATCACTCACAAGCACTTTGGGGTGACGTTTCTCAAGCACCTACAACTCTTGTGATATTTGCATCTAACCCACATTTCTCTACATTGCCCTCAAGGAATCTACCAGAGATGTGGTGAAAAGTCCTACTGAGATTCAGATAAACTGCTTCATCGGTACTCCCCCAATTTTCCTACTTAACATTATCAATTTAAAAGAAAAAAATATAAAAAAGGTTGGGGATATAGCTCCATGGTAGATTACTTGCCTGGTATGTAAGAAGCCCAGCACCATTCCCCTGCCTCCCCACGACCCTCCCCCCAAAAAAAATGGAAACAGCTAATTAAAGGAGTGATCTTCAGGAGATAACCCAGCATATTAGTTTATATACAATATTTAGAACAGAAAGAAACAGGAAAGCCCAAAAGAGAAGAATCCTTTCATATCTTTGCATTCAACCCACAATTTTCATCTGGAGCAATTTCAAGTTTGTTGGAAGATTTGGAGTCTATCATAGCCAGATCACAATCATTGAATTTTTTTTTAAGTAAATTCAGAAAAGAGTAGCTTAGAATGGCATTCACCATTTCCACCCCACTCCTGACCCTTGGGCACTAGGTCCTCTTTCCTCCTCAGCCCCTGTGCACACCCTTCTCAGGGCACATACCATACTATTAAAGGAGTCTATATGCCTCATAAGGATAGACCCCATATCTTCTCCCCATATGTATCCCCAGCATGTGGTACAGTACCTGACAACTAGAGATGCTCAATAAATATTTGGAAAAGCTAATGCAGAGCCTAGAAAATGTGGCTGGGGCATTGATTTTACAAAGAGTATCAAGAAATACAGATGGCTTTAGAAAGTAGAACAATGAGGCAATCAAAGCAATAAGTATAGACAATTACTCAGGCAGCCAAGTGCTGATGACTGTATTGGGACAGAAGGAAAGAGAAAGGAGGGTTGTCACCTATGAGTTTTGTTTAACCAAGTGAACACTGATTTTAAAAGAAAAAGCAGAGCCAGGTGAAGTGGGACATGCCTGTAATCCCAACAGCTCGGGAGGCTGAGACAGGAAGATCGTGAGTTCAAAGCCAGCCTCAGCAATTTAGCAAGGTGCTAAGCAACTCAGTAAGACCCTGTTTCTAGATAAAATACAAAATAGGGCTGGGGATGTGGCTCAGGGTTTGAATGCCCCTGAGTTCAATCCACAGTATCCCTCCCACCAAAATAAATTCTCTGTTCTATTTTTTTTTAAATGAAGAGAAAAAAGAAAAAGTAGAAAACTAACCACAGACTCTCAATGAGCAGTTCTCGTAAAAGGCAAAGTGCTAAGCACAGTCCATGTCCTCAAAGAAACTGCAATACAATTGAGGAAATGAGAGCCATCTTGAATCAAGGCAGAAGATGAGGAAAGCTTTCAAGAGGCACAAATAAAATACCCAGGGAGATGGGAGACGATTTTGTTGAAACTGAGAGAAGTTTCATAAAGGATGACAGCCTCTGAGCTGAACTTCCTGCAGGAAGCTTTATGAAGGCAGAAAAGCAAGACTCTGGAGAGAACAAGGTATGGAGGAGGTGTGTTTCCAGGCATTTCTTTGGGCATGGAAGACAGTTTGACTTGATGAGACTAGGACAAGGGTCAGAGAGAGAGATATAGGAACTGTGGCTAAAAAGGAAGATCAACACCAAATAGCCAAGATGTTTAGCTGAGTGATTTCTGCTGCTCTAGAGGCAGTGAGAAGCTGTGGAAGTTCCACATGAGGGAGAAGGAATAATCTTTCATAGTCCTACTTTAGACAGATGATGCTGTCTTCTTCCTTTTTTTTTTTTTTTTTTTTTTTGGTACCAGAGCTATATCTCCAGCCCTTTTTAAAAAATATTTTATTTACAGACAGGGTCTCACTGAGTGGCTTTAGGACCTCACTAAGTTGCTGAGGCTGGCTTTGAACTCGCAATCCTCCTGCCTCAGCCTCCCAAGCACCAGGGTTGCAGGCATAGGCCAGTGCACTCGTCTGATTCTGTAGCATGTACAGAGTCTCATGTTTGGAAAATGCCAGTCATGGACCTGGGACAAAGAACAGTGTTCAGTAAAAGGCACTGTCCTTCAAGAGAGAATGAGCAATGAAATAACAGGCCAGGATGTGTGAGAAGAGTTGGAATCAGAGCATGAAATTAGGGCCAGACAGAACACTTCCTCCTTTAAGACAGACAGGAAGAAATAAAAGGGATGAGAGTACACAGGGACACGGAGGTAAAAGTAAGAATGCTCAAGGGAATTGGATCAAAGGGTCAGATAAATCAGATTGCTGCCTGCCAAGAGCAAGAGAGTCTGAGGAGCTGGGGGAACCTTGGAGTGAGCCACAAAATGAACAAAGCCCCTCACCTATCTGCCTGAAATTGTCCTGAGTCTTGGTTTTGTAGCCTGTTGAGTGGTCCTGGCACCTCAAAATGACCATGGGACCCCAACATAAAGGTGAAAGTAGAAGCCGAGAATAAGGAGGAAAAATCACAAAGAAGTAAGGAAGTCCCCAGGACAACCCTGGATACAGCCTGCCATTTGTCAGTGGCAAGAGGAAGAAGTAAGAAGAAAAGAAGTGATTGAAAGCACAGGAGGAGAATGAGGACAAAACTTTGTTGCAGACCCTAATGGAAGAAAGAGCACCAACACACCAGCTCTCTTTTCTGAACTTGCTGTCAATTTCAGTGACTTGGTCAACGTGATCTTGAGAGACAGCAAAACGTGAAGGAAAATATGCAAACCCTTTAAGGCTTCCATGCTGAAATTTATGATTCATGTATAATAACCTGGTTTTAGAAAGTAGAACAATGCAGGTGAAAATGAATCAAAGTGCCAATTAGAATAATAATCTTTTTTATCCTAATACCTGCCCCCAAATAACAATTTTACCTCACAAATATCCCTTTAAGAAGGCTAAGAATCAGATTCAGAATAAACACTGGGTGATTTGGGCTGTTTTCCCCCCGATTTATTTTTATTTTGCGCCTAATGTTTCTTAAGCGGCACAGTTTGAAGGAAAGCCCTAACAAACAGCCATCATTCATTTCTTCCTTCCTCTTGTCACATAAATTCTTATCAAATTAGACACAGACTCTTAGTCAACTGAAAAAATTAGACTGACAGCTATCCAAATACATTTCCCATAGACTGCTGCTCTGACACCGGTAGTTACTTTAGCACTGGGTTCCTGCACCCAGGCCGGGCCCCGCTGCCCACTCACCTGCATGAGTTCGTGGCTTTGCAGAAGGTCATTCTCCAGCATCTCCTGGGTGAGGCGCCCCATGGTGCCATAGAATTCATCTGCTGTTTCACAACATTCTATCTGCCTAGACGAAGAAAGAAGGGGGGAAAGGACTTATTGAGGGCACTCATGCTGTGTAATGGGTATGTGCTGTAGATACAAGATGTGCTGCCTCTCACCATCAACCAAGTTAGCAATCAACAGAAATCAAAATCCTGGGACACAATGAATATGAAATAAAGATCAAAGGTACCAAAACCAAGTTGGCCCCGTGGTCTACACCCATCAGACAGGCTACTCCTCTGGGGCTGAGGCAAGAGGATGCTTGAACCCAGGAGTTCAAGACCAGCCTGGGCAACATAGTAAAACCTCATTTTAAAAAAAAATAGCAATCTAGAGGTACTTGTTCTGGTATGCACTCCCAAAATCCCAGCAACACAGCCCCACTGTGGCTCTTCATGGGTTCCATTGGACACATTCTATATATCAGAACACCCAGCACTGACCAGAAATTATAACCACAGAATTAGGTTCTAAAGAACAATTATCCCCTGCAGAGACTCTGTTGATCTTAATCTACAGTGATAGCATGAATAGGTGGAAACCAAACCACAGTAGAGCTAAAAGTCAAAAAATACAAAAACTTCATTTGCATATTTCATCAGTCCACAAGAACTTTCTGAGCCCTTCTCAGGGAAGAATCTATCACCTGGTAACCTGTGAGACAGGTTGGACTTTCAACTTTCTTCTAAACTGAGGTGTGGGGGGGTGAGTAATCCAAGTCAAAGAACACAGGGTATTTCTGTTTTATCTATTATACTGTTCTTTGTACAGTTGGACAGTTCAATTTGCTCACCAACTGGGTGATGTTCATAGAATCATCCAAAAAAAAAAAATGATGATGGAAAAACCTCAGGCAATCAACAGGGTATTGTGTGGGTTGTTTCTGATGGTGTAAGTATATAAATGAAGTAAACTACTAAAATATTATACAAAGATACAGCGTAGGATGTGGGTATAAATGAAAAGTGGTTAAGTTTACCCTGGGGAGTGAGGAAGAGAAAAAGTGCTTTGAAAAATGCTCTCCAAGCTGACAAAGAAGAAAAGATATTCTAAAGATACCAATGCAGGAAACAGCAGGCCTATCTGGGGAACTGCAGGGAGCTCCACAAGACCAGGGGACAAATGCACAGCCAGAGGGAGACAGTGAACACTGAGGCTAGAAGCCTGCAGACATATGATCACAAAGGCCTCATCTGCCAGCTGAATCTCTTCAGGACACAAGTGTTGAAAGGCTTTTAATAGGGAGTGATGTTGTCCTTGGCAAGGTCAGCCTGGAGGTGGCATGGCAAATGTGGTGCATGACTGGAAACCAGAGAAGACACACCGCAATGGGCAATCAACAGAAAGCAGTGAGGGAATGTGCCAAGATGGTGAGCCAGAGGAGAAAGGACACGCAAGAGATGCTAGTGCAGATGAACTGATGGTCTACAACTTACAGATTCCAAAAGCACCCCTCGGTGAGTGAAAGGAGGGAATCCCCAGCCACAGAAGCAAGGTGGAAGGAGATGCCCCATGGATAACCATATGTAAGGCACATATGTTGCTCAGGCACACATCAACTGGAGATTACCTTTTATGCTGTTTATGGTTTTTCCAATGAAACTTTTGTGGAGTGGATTATAGGCACTAGAGTCAGAAAGATCCAGGGGTAAGTCTCAGCCCTGCTAATCATTAGCTGTGATAGTCTTCTCACTTGAAATGACAGGGAGGAATAACCCTACCTACTTCACAGCATTATTGGGAGATCTAAATGAGCTAATGTGCTGAATTTGCCTAACATAATGACAGACACTATCAGCACTTGATGATATGTGTTGGTTGCCTTCCCTTGCATGCTCAAAAGATTTTCAATTATGATAAGCAAAAATTCTACCAGACTGATTTTATATATATATATATATATATGCCACAAACTATGCGTGGGCTATGTGTGGACAGTTGCAAACAGTAGCCTCCTGAGGGGATAAGTCTGGCATTGGGAACTCCCTCTGGCACCCCCCCCATGCAGGTGAACTTCCCTCCTGAAGCTCTGCCAAAGATCCCCCCACACTGCACCTGAGATGGGTGTGACCTGCCAAAATGTCAATCACCCTGCTGACTTGAAGACATCATGAAGCAAGACTCTACCCTTGCAACCTTATCCCTTCCTTTGATGTACCAGCTTAAATAAACCACCGGAGCCATTTTCTCTTTGTCTAGTTCCAGAACCCATGTAGACTAGATCTATCCGGGGCTTCACATTCTGTAAATATATTCTGAGTATTTGTGCTTTGTTCCTAATTATCTGAGAATGTAAGTTTTAGGGTGGCTTGGACTTCCCTGGTGGAGGAGAGATGGCAAGAGAACCTCTCAAAGAGATGCTGGCCAGCTGGCCATCATCACATATATATATATATATATATATATATATATATATATATATATGATCATGAAGTTCAGGATATGATATATGTGTATTTACACACACACATATATATATATATATTGCAAACACTCATGAATATTAGCCACTTATTATCAGTAGACTTGCATAATTAAAAGCACAGATTCACATTAGATCGGATAGAGAAAAATGATGGGAGGGAAGGAGAGGAGTAGGGGGGATAGGAAGGGCAGCAGAATATAATAGACATTATGATTGCTGTATATATATAGGTGACTCTATGACCAGTGTGATTCTGTAATCTGTAAAGTCAGAAAAATGAGAAATTATACCCTAATGATTCAAATGTATGAATTGCCAAAATCATTGTAATGTCATGTGTAGCTAATAAAAAATAAATAAAATTTTTTTAAAAGCACAGATTCAGATCCAGGATACTTGGGTTTAAAACCAGAACCTTCCATTTATGAAAAGGGGGACTTTAGGCAATTCACTGAATCCTGTGTCTCAATTCTCACATCAATAAAATGAAGATGATGACAATACATACCTCTACAGGATGATGGTGAAGAATGACTTAGTTAATGTATGTGGAGGACTTGGGACAGTGCCTGTCCATTTCAAACACTCAATGAATACTGGCTCTTACTTGCAGCTATTGTTATTATGTAAGAGTGACACTGCTGAGATTACCATAGGAATAAATTCCCATCCTCCAGATAATGACTAGATGGGCATAAAGCCAGGACTTCCTCTTTTCTTCCTGCCCCATTATTAAGAAGTCACAAAGGTGAATATCACTGTCCCCCCATATAATAGAGAGCTTTACTATTTTAATACTATCAACCAGTCACCTAGTAACTGGACTGTCACACCCAGAAAAACTCAAAAAGCTTATAACATATAATGTAGATCAAACACACGTGACTACAGAATGTAGATCAAACACACGTGACTACAGAATGAGTTAGATACTGGGAGAAAATGAAAAGCAAACAGTACACTAAATCCCACACAGATGAACTGATTGGCCTACCTGAAAAGCAATGTTCAATAAAACAAAAGCAAAGGAGAGAGCTATGTCATATTTTAAAATACTTGTACATAATAATGATTTTTTTAAATCCCTGAATTGATAGTTAGTGGATCTTTTTGTGGGGGGAGGAGGATACCAGGCATTGAACTCAGGGGCACTCAACCACTGAGCCATATCCACAGCCCTTTCTAGTATTTTATTTAGAGACAAGGTCTCACTGAGTTGCTTAGCACCTCACTGTTGCTAAGACTGACTTCGAACCCACCATCCTCTTGCCTCAGCCTCCTGTACTGCTGGGATTACAGGTATGCGCCACCACGCCTAGATGGTGGAACTTTCTTTGCAAAAAAAAAAAGTGCTGGAAGTCTCCCAGGAAACAAGTTATCATAAATAAAAAGGCTAGTTTAAAAAGGTTTTGAAAAAAGACACTGCCAGTGGTGTATAGTTTTTTGACATGTTGTCCATGTCATGGGTAATGTTATGGTTTGGATATCAGGTGTTCCCCAAAAGCTCCTGTGTTGAGCAGGAGGTTAAACAATTAGATTATGAGGGCTGGGGATGTGGCTCAAGCGGTAGCATGCTGGCCTGACACGCATGCGGCCCGGTTTCGATCCTCAGCACCACATACAAACAAAGATGTTGTGTCTGCCGAGAACTAAAAAATATTTTTTAAAAATCTAAAAAAAAATTAAATTATAAGAGCAGTGACCTATGAGTTCATTCTTATTTGAATACACTAACTGGATGGTAACTGTTGGTAGATGGGGTGTGGCTGGAAGAAGTGAGGCCACTGGGAGCATGTGGGGATTACATTTTGTCCCCCTGACTCTTCATTCTCTCTACTTCTTGGCCACCATGAGCAAAGGAGTTTCCCTCTGCAACACCCTCCACCATGATGTTCTGCCTCATCTTGGGCCCAGAGCAATGGAGTTGGCCAACCATGAACTGAATTTCTGAAATTGTGAGTCAAAATAAATTTTTCCCTAAGTTTTTCTTGTAAGCCAGTTTGGTCACAGTGACAAAAAGCTTACTAACATATGTACCCATTCAAGTCATTCATAGCTCTGGGAAAGAAACATTGAAAACTTCTCTGCTTTTCAAGTAAACTGTTAACAGTCTCATCCTAATGTGTCTTCCATTAACCAAAGGTTACAATGTTAATGTATTAGTCATAATATATTACAGATAAGTGAAACTACCCTATCTTTTTCAGCCCTGCTACCACTAGTAAGGAATGTAAGTAAAATTTATTTGGTAATATGTTTTGGCGGGACCAGATTTAAACACATAAGCAATTTTTCATGAAAAGAAAGGAGTTCCATAGAGTCTACTATTGACTATGTACCAAGCACCCTGTTAGAATCTTCTACAGGTTATCTTATTTAATTTTATCACAGTTCTGAATGGCAAAACAAAACAAATAATAAAGATTCATAAATAATCCAAAGTATTATGTAAGCCAATAAATCCACATGCTCCTCTCCAGATCTTCCACTTTCTCTTCCATCTGAGTTTCCCTCCTTCCTCCAAGAGAATGTCCAGAGGGATGCTGAGGAGAGACTCAGCCAGGACAGGTCCACTGAGGAGGAGAGGAGAATCCTCCTCTTCCCTCTGCCCCGAGCAATCAAGGAGGGGGGCGGGCAGCTGAGATTTCAGGAGCCTAAAGCAATTCAAGAAAGTTCACAACTTTCTCTTCTCCTCACACTATCAATGCTTCACATTCAAAGCACAAAAATTGCTTGAGGCTCTCAACATCACAGAATGAAGTAGATGAGGGAAATCACTTACTCTCCCAATTTTGCCCAGATGGCCAGTGACACCCTTAGGATGATCTCCGAACCTTCAAAGAAGACTGAATCCCAGATCTTTAAAACTGTGTGATTAGGGAGACACGTGGCAAAGAGAGTCAGAAACCACTGCATCGTGAAGACATTCGTAAGTGGGGGCTCGTATCCACCTGAAACAAAACAAGCATGCTTAATTCCTTCAAAATTGATGATGTGGGAAATGGATCAACACCCTTCTCAGTCTTCCATGTCCACTCAACTAGGTTCTATTTCTTGACTTATTCCTTCATTCTACATCCTGGTTCTTTCTTCCTTTTATTCCTTCCATGCTTCTGGAGGAACGTAGGTGTTTTTAATGAAAATCTCAATCATGTGGGCTTCACACATTCTTTATGATGCTTCAGAAATCTTAACCTAAAACCTAACTATGGCTCTACCTGTTGTAGGGTGCTGGAAATTAAGAAGAAAGTTTCCTTACCAAAAACAAAACAAAAATAGAGGATTTTAGCCTCTCAAAAGCAAAAAGGCATCAGATTTTCAGAATCTTATAAAGCACACTTTTACTCAAATGTGGCCAAAAAGAATCAACTTGTTTATTATAATTTATCTGTCTGCTTCTTAAATTATGTACACAATTCTCAGCAAGCTAGCTGGAAAATCCCAAAATATTTGAAGACTAAACAACATTAAATTTAAATACATTTTGAACTAAACTATATATAGTTTTAAAGAAAGATCTGGGGTTCCATCCATTTTCAAATTCTGAATTTACTAAAAACAGTACTTCCACTTCTTGTGATATCATAAGCATATATTTTATTGAAATATAACTCAGACGTTTAGACTGACCTTCCCTCCCAGTTACAGTCAGTATGCACAATTACTCAAGTGTAAGCAAAAAAGAGATCTGTTTTCCTGCACCCATTTTCTTCCTCCTTACCTATGAACAAACATTTGCTCAAAGATTAGAACCAGAGGTTATTCCTCATTAGCCAAGTGCCATGAAAGGGAAAACATGTAGCTCAGTAAAACATGTCTGACTGCAGGACAGGCAAAACCAGTCTATGCAGAAGCATTGTGAAACTCACGCAAGTATACAGTTACGCTGTGCACCAAATTAAATACAGATTATTTAAATAGACTAGGAGAAAAAACTTAGAGACACCCAGCTGTCACTAAAATATCACAGTGTATTTTAATCAAAGATTAGATCCTCAAAATCCTTTAATATGCTCCAAGACTTAAATGTGTGGGTCCGACTAACCCACAAATGCATGATCTACAACAGGAACCAGCAGCCAAGTCCAGGAAACAGCAAAACAAAACATTCTTTCCAGTATCAGGGCACAGACAATAGGTGTAATTGCAGCAACTTCAACCAGGTACTGCTGAGAGCTGATGAGGCCACTAGATGGCAGCAGCACTGGGAACTGCACTTTCATAGCCTCAATGGTTCTCCAAAGCCAGCTTGTGCTAAATGGTACCTGAAGCTCAGCTTTAAAGAACTCTGACAGGTTTGGTGCCAGTGTAGAGCACTTTAGACAATAAGACACATGCACCATTCTTCATCTAGAGTACAATATATCCCGTTAGTTTCTGATCTGGTACCAAGGGGATATTAGGCTCTCAACCTGTTTTCTACCCATGACCAGCTAGAGGCTTAACACATGACCCTATATATGTATTTTCAGTTTTGTTTTTATTCTCTGGGAATCTATTTCATTGCACCAAACTCTTACAACAGAAATACCTGGAAGGGCTAGGGTTGTAGCTCTGTGGTAGAGCGCTTGCCTAGCACTTGTGAGGCACTGGGTTCAATCCTCAGCACCACATATATAAAAATAAATAAATAAATAAAATGAAGGTATTGTGTCTATTTACAAAAAAATAAATAAATAAATAAAAAACAAAGAGATACCCAGAAACCTGCATTTCCATTCAATGTTAGTTCATGTATAGAGTGGAATCTCACAAGCCAAATATTTTTAAAGGTTTAATAGCAATGAAACATCACAACCTCCACTTTCTTTGTTTGCAGTTCTCTGAAGAGTATCCAGGTGTTGGGATAATTCAGGGAGTTTCATTCTCAAGAGGTCTCTGAAGACAGCCATATCCACAGACAATGCCCGGAGATTATTGACAAAATAGCTTTCAGGAAGTACCTTATCAATCAGGTAAATCATAATCTAAAGAGAAAGATAAAGAATAATACAGCTTCATAACAACCAAAATCCTAACATGTCCAAAATTAAAAGAATATAATTCAAATAGATAAAATGCAATTAGCCAAAGCAAACTCTCCTTTAAATGTGTCAGTACCAATTTTTCAAGGCTCACTTACACCCGGTGTAAGGAGAAGGCGGCATAATTATCTAAGTAACTTAGACCCAAATTCTGCCGCCCTCTGAAATTCCTAGATGGGCCACCAGACCCCATAAGCAGCTGTGATCACACAACTCTCAGCTTCACTGAGGAATGAGAGAGCACAGGCTTCATCAGCCACCAGCAGGAGCCTCAGCATGGAATCCTGGACATGAGTAGTTTACGACGTCAATACGAAACCCAAGAGATGGCCTATCATAAAACACCCACGCTGAGGTGGCCCTGAGATTCACTTTCCAATTACCCGGGTTATTACAGCAACTGATGTTGGCTTTTGACTACTTTCCTCTCCCAGGAGAAGGCAACCAAGTTTTGTTTGAACAAATGGGACTGTTTTAAACCCACGTTTCTTTCATAAGATCATCACCTGATTTCTTCAAATTACAAATCTTCATTCTTGAGTTTTATACTTGTATTACCTTTTCTCATGTGTTAAGAACCACTAGATCTAGTAACACAAAAACAAGTTCTGGGGGCTGGGATTGTGGCTCAGTCATAGAGCATTCGCCTAGCACTTGTGAGGCCCTGGGTTCAATCCTCAGCACCGTATAAAAATGAATAAAATAAAGGTATTGTGTCCAACTACAACTAAAAAATTAATATTAAAAAAAAAACACAAGTTCTGTCCTTCAATCCCTAGTCCTTTCCCTGTCTGCTTTTATAGTCCATAAGAGACCAGATCATTCCCAGAGCACCAAAAAAACAAAATTAAGAACAAAATCATAGCTGGCTCTGTATGCAGGCGGAAAAGTGCTGTCTCACATTTTTTATCTTCAGGATACCACAAAACTCTATTTTCAAAAAAAAATAAAGTGATAGATAAAAATCAATCTACCTCTGATCAATAGAGATCTCCCTATCTATCTTCCAGCCCTGCCATGGGACCATTTTCCCCTTATTCCTGGCTTATACTTTCTAATTTTAGATTATGGTTTTGTATGATTCTTGAGAAAGCCCTCTGAGGTTTTTGATCCACAAGCCTAGGGAGACTTCTTCCGTCAGCACAGAATGTACCAGGTAAATGTATCATTGCCTGGGAAACAGGAGCTCGGCAAGACAAGGAGTACATTCAGTCCACCTGGAGGAAGAGGTCCCAGATGGGAAAGAGCAGACTCCCAACAGGGTAGAGCACCCCGGTAGGCACCTAGCACTCCGTGGATCTGGAGAAAGGGGATTTATAGGAACAGAAAAGCAAATTTAAAGGTAATGGTCTGGGGGTTATTATCCTTTTCACCTAAGGAGAAGTTATATAGTGCTGAGAAAAGTACTCAAGTCATTATTAAGAAATTATGATCCCATCAAAATTATGAGAATAAGAAAAGATATTTCTTCAATTATTCTAGTAATTCTTATAATAAAATTCTCAGTATAAAGTCATCTCAAAGCCTGGTGTTAAGACAAAAGAAACAGCTCACTTAACCAAATTTCAAAGACCAAATCATATATCTTAAAAAAATAAATAAATGAGATAAATAATGAGAGGGCTTCAAATTTTTGACAAATATTTAGAAACAAAATAATGACTGGGCTGGGGTTGTTGCTCAATGGTAAAGCGCTTGCCTCACACGTGTGAACACTGGGTTCAATTCTCAGTACCACATATTAATTAATACAATAAAGTCCTTTGACAACTAAAAACATTTTTAAAAATCTAATAATAATTACTAACAAAAGACAGTTCTGGAAATTAGAAAAAAAGTTGTTCACCTATTTTTAATAAACTATGAATTTCCCTAATAATTTCAACTTGCTAACGCCAAAATGGCTGCTAAAAAAACACACTGATATTTTTCTTGGCATCAGAAGTGCTTCTTCATCAACCCAACTTTCCTCTGCATATTAAATATCTAATCACAAGATCTACACATTCCTAAACAATGATGATATATGTCATCTCATTCCATGGGGCTTATTTTCTTGGGGACAGAAATAAAAATATTCAGTTTCTCTGCTTTGTCCAATCCATCTTTTTATGTGAATTTTAGTTTCTCCAGTACCACTGAGTCCTTTCATGAGTTGATTGGCAATGTATACTTCTTTTCCCAAACTTCTCCAGCTCTCCGACCTGAATCACTTATTCCAACTTTTTAACAGAACAATTTTCATTTCATAGTCATACAAATTTGTATGTATCTGGAAAAAATACTAACAGCGATAGGATGAGTAAATAAAATTGTTTCTTAATTAAAAATGTCTTAAATTCTCATATTTAATTTGTCACTGTCCACCCCACTTCCTCACCCCCACCTATTTGATTAAACAAGTCATTTCAAAGCTATTTCCTTAAATACATGAATGGAAAAAATGAGCAGGTGAACACACACTTAAATCATGTCCGGCTGGGTTTATAATTAAGTCCACTGTGATGTGTATAAACCTAGGAGGAACATGTGCTTATTTTTCCATATCACACTAGTCAGTGATAGAGAATGTCACTGAGATATTCACCACAGTCAAACACAAGAGTTGGTAGGGTTGGGGAGGTGTTTTGAATACAGAGAACAAGCCTCCATCTAATGTATCACAAACACTACAATCAGCAGCTGCTTAAATGTTCAAATATGAATTGGCAACCCACATTGCCCTTAGCAATGAAGGCAGTGGCCATCCTCCACATTTGCAAGGCTTCATTTCTCCTAAAGACTATTTCTGGTGATACATGACTCACATTCAGACCCATAAACTTACATTGTTAGTGTTTTATCTCAAGTTGTTTCCAGAATTGTGTCTAACTAACAAAGGTCCTACACACCAAAGATTAAAAGGTAATGATATAATTCACTTCCCTGACCTTTCTCCAAACACCTTCCATAGATACACTCAGCCCACCTCCCCTATATCTCGCCCCAAATATGAAAGAGCAAAAGAACCAAATAAGTCAATCCAACCAGAATTAAAGATAACTGGCATGGTAGGCAGTTATAAAATGACCCCCAGTAACCTCCACCTCGTGGTAGTCTTCCCCTTGAGTATGAGCTAAACCTGGTGACTGCTTCGTAGGAACAGAATATGGAAAAACAATAGATGTCACTTCTGATATTTGGCTACAAATCTCTAACTTGAACTTCTCTGCCTCACTTGCTTTTACTCTCTTGCTCTCTCAAGGATGCCAGGAACCAAGTGGTAGGGTAGAGGGGCTTACAGGGCAAGGAAATAAAAGAGGCCTCCAGTCAATAGCCAGAGACCCTCAGTTCAACAGCCTGTGAGGAATTAAGTCTTGCCAACAACCACATGAACAAACTTGATGAATGCTCCCCGCCCTCTGTCAAGCCTTCAAATAAGAACATAACCACCAACAGTTTAAATGCCACAATGATATGACCTTGAGTCAGCTAAGCTGTGCCCAGATTTCTGACTCAAAGAAACCATAAGGTAATACATACTAGCTGTCTTAAGCAGCTAATTGTTACACAAACATGATAATTAACACAATTAATATTTAAATTGCCTTTAACATATGATGGCTTATAAGTGAGACTAGAAAATAATCACCCTCACAGTCAGCAGCTTCGTGAGTCACTTGACATGGCTTTAACCTGGAGAAAATGCTAACCTAAGTCATTACCAAAGTATGGAAAACACCTTGGAAAAGGGAGAGGCATTAGGGAAGAGAATTATAGCTCCAGTTTTCTCCTGTAAGAGAATTCCAGTCCCCTCCATCAGTGACACTTACTTTCAATGCATCCCCTTCATTGCCTTCCATAACTTCCAGAATTAGCGCCGCCAGGATGTTAAAGCCTTGGCAGTACCCGACATTCTTGTTCCACCGGGCATAGGCCAGCAGCACCCGCTTCAGCACAACCCTGTCCTGCTCAGCCTCTTGGCCACAGTAAGAACTGCAGCCTGTACGGTGAAGATCCTAAAAAATAGAGGGAGCAATAGTATTAAAATATCTGCTAATGCTCCCTCACAAGGAATATACCTTTTGTTATTTGTCTCACCATTAAATAGTTCAAAATATCAACATGGATTTTTAACTTTTTTTAAATGCATATGTAACTTATACATCTAGGCCAAAACATGTTTTTTAAGTTTTCTCTTTCAAATGTTTTCTAATACACTGTCTGTGCAAGGGGAAGATCAGTCAGGCAAATTTTCTACTTAGAGAGTTCCCAGAATTAACATTAAAAAAAAAACTCAATTAACAAAAATGACATTATAATTTCACATAAATTGATAGTTTATTTTTTAAATGGGCATCAGTCACATATATACACAGATACATAAATATGTGTGTAGATATATGTACATGTGTATACATATATATTTTAAAAATTTATAAATACATTTATATGTATATAAAATATATATTTAAAAAAAAAAAAAGCCAGGGCTGGGGTTGTAGCTCAGTGGTAGAGCACTTGCCTAGGATATGTGAGGCACTGAGTTCAGTTCTCAGCACCACATGCAAATAAATTAATTAAATAAAAGGTCCATCAACAACTAAAAAAATATTTTTAAAAAATAGCCATTTCAACATATTTATGATAGAGGCTCACAGTCCCTCTTAAAAAATATGGTATAATATTTAGCTACCAAAACACTAAATAATATTAGGGAGTAAATCAAAATAGAAAAAAATCTATATTATAGAAAGAAAAATCATTCTATCCAAATCATTTTATAAATTTGTGTAAGGACAGAAACATTTGTTCTGCATTAATATGTAATGAGAGCAATATCTGCAATTTAATTACCAAGCAGAGACTCTGATTTTCGGCAGCTGAAGTCATTTTATTGACATAGCATTTGCTTCATTGGGAAAAAGAACAGATCCCCTTAATAACATGTTTATTATAAAATGTGCACTCTCTTAGTTCACAAGCTAAACAGAAAGAAAATATTTCAAATATGAAATGTTTATCTCAGTGAAACATATTCTGAAATTTCAAATAGACAGTTGAAATGTGAATAATGCAAAGGTTTTTAATATGCAATGTGAAATGCCATAATTTTTTATCATTTGTCTGAAACAGATCAAGTTAGGTTAGAAAGTTGCTCACTTCAGTTAGTACTTCCTCCTTTAAAAAATATACTCAAATATGCCAAAACATTAGCTATCTTGTAGCAGCAAAAAATTAGATGAAACAACCATCCTTTTAAAATCCCAGCTTAGTATCACACTGTAATGCCCTCCCCAAAAAAAGCAAAAAGCATGTGCTAGAGCCTTATATAAGAGGATTATTCTGGAATCGAGTAGAATCAGCATCCTGATGCTTTGAGCACCAGGCTCTAATCAACTGCAATAACACAGGTAGGTGAACCACAGCTGCCTCTACAGCTTGCTTCAACCTGTAACCACCTGACTTAAAGTAGACCCATCAGTCAACTCTAACTATCTCTATAAATTAACAGTTAAGAAACTATCAAAGACCCTAATAAGAGCCAAATGATTCTACTATGAAATATATATATCTAACTTTCAGTTTCTCCAATCAGTGTCTTTTATGTAAAACTCAGTTTAGCAAAGCACTAACCTATAGTAGAGGGGAAAAATTAAAAAAGGAATTTCAATCTCCTATCATGTGATGAAGATAAACAAATTGAATATGAGTGGAAGCTCATTCATTCACAAGCATTTTCTTCTTACCAGCAACATTTAAACTGATGAAAATAAGACATAGTTGAGTTTCCCCATTTAAAAAAAAAAAAAGCTGTTAACTAATAAAACAAAGACGCAGAAAATACAAAGACATTCGGACCAAAGGTAGAGATCATTTGATCCTCTATCTAGGAAACATTTGGCTCTTAGAGTCTTTTTTCTACATTAGAACTACAGGCCAAGTGCAGGGGCATTACCTTGACTATCTGAATTCCCATCGAATCATCATCAGGATTACTCCTTTCATTGAAAGTGAAACGCATGGTTTTATCCCAGTCAATGGCTATACTGTGCAAATAATGATCTGCCAAGGTCAACCAAACCTAAAATATTGCATAAATAAAAAAGGTTGCTAAAGTAGAATATGTAATTTCACTTTTGTTAGAAAATAGTTACTGCATCCGACAAGAACATGGGAACCGTTCCTAATCCAGATAAAGCTTGTACGTCAAGATCTGTAACAACTTCATCAAAATTTTTGCTGTACTGAATTGTGACCTTTGAATCCTTTCATTTTTCTCTTTCAATAACTATTTGTAAAGTTCCTACTATGTGTCAAGTAACAATCCAAGCATTAGAAATACTATTAAGAAAACAAGCCATGAGTTTTTTGGAATTTTATTTCAGTTCATTAGATTCGCTGCATTTTCTTATAAACTTGTTTTACTTGGCTTTAAGTTGCTTTCATGCTTGGGCAAAACCCACTTGGCCACTCATGTTGGTGGGGCCTTTTTTCACCATGGAGGCCTCTGCCTTTAAATCATCCCTCCCACACACATAAAACTAACAGATGGGCTCCCATAATGAAGAACTTTTTTAAAAGAGTCATTGGATATTTTTACTCCTTTGTCTTACCCAGAAAATCTGCTTCTACAAAATGCATTTCATAATGCCACTTTTAATATTTATTCTGAGGAACTTTCAATGTTCAAATTCTAGGAGTATTAAAACTAGGTTTATAAATTAATATCCTAAGAACACATTTCAGGTTTTGGTATTTTAACTTGATTTTGCAGGAACAGCATTGATTAGTATTTCCAACCAGACTTATAAGCATCAGAATCATATGTCCAAATGCACACTTGATACCTTTGAGTTAGATATCTAATAGGCATCTCAACTTTAATAGATCCCAAACCAAACATCTAATCCCCCACCAACCCAACTCTACATACAATCATAAAGTATTGCACCCCTAATCCTCCCATCTATATAAACAGTAACTCTCTACCTTTCCAGTCACTCAGGCCAAAATCTTAAAGTCCTCCTGGACACACCTTTCATATGTTATATTCAGCCCACTTAGAATTCAAATTCAAAATATATATCTAGAATTTGACCCTCCTCTCTATCTCCACTGCCCCAACCTAAATCATCTGTTGCCTGAATTTCTGTGAGTCTCCAACTGATCTCCCTGCTTCTGCCCTTGGCTCTCATATTCTCAAGTTAGCCACCAAATCCGTCCCTTTGAAACGTAATTCAGATTATGTTACTCCCCTACTCAAACTTCCCATTTCACACTGAGCAAAAAACCCAAGTCCAACCAGAGTGTACCACCCTTCTGTTACCTCTAAGACTCTCTCCCCATCTCACTTTGTCCTTTGTGCTCCACCCCACCCCTCTGCTTGGATTGAATCAGGTGAGATACTCTCACCTAAGGTCATTTGCACCGGCTCTTCCCTTAGCCTGGAGTATACTCCCTCAGGTAGCTACATCTTGAATTCTCCACTCCTTCAGGGCCCTACTCACGCATTACTTTGCTATTTAAAATTCCACCTCCTTACCCCTATTCTCCCACACTCTTCTTATTTCTTTCTGTGCTTTATTTTTATCCACAGCACTTGTCACCATCTGACATACTTTATATTTTATTCATTGTAAGCTCCTCAGGACAAAAACTTCAGTCTGCTGTTGTTTGCACTGCTGCATCCCTAGCACCTAGAACAGTACGTGACACAGAATGGATAATCAATAACTGCTTACTGCGTGCATAAATAATGAAGCAATAAGTATCAAACTACTAAATCTAGAATATACTTTTGGACATTCCAGAGGTTTTGAAGGACAGAATGACAGTCTTTCTGTATTTTAGCCTTGCAAATCCACCTTACCTTTCTTCTCCATTCCTTTGGTATCCCTGTTGATAGTCTGGCTACAGCCTTGAGAGCATCATACCACTAGGAACAAAGAAGAGCTATCAGGGAAGTAATAATACCAACCTGGATAAGCAATTTCAACCTTTTCTCCATCTTGACATACACAGAGTATGATACAATTCGTACAGCACACTAGGATAAATAAAGCTTCTTGCAACTGGCAGTTATGGGTCTAGGGATAAGACTGCCCCAAAACCCACACCTATGGTATTCTAAACACATCTTTGACTCATTTGCAGTAAACAAACAACAATTGGGAAACTCAAAAACCAAAACATGTGCCCAGCATAGTTGGTGGCCAGCCTTACCAACTTACTGAGGCCTGAGGCCCTAAGCAACTCAGCAAGACCCTGTCTATAGACAAAATACTAAAAAAGGCTGGGGATGCGGCTCTGTGGTTAATCACTCCTGGGTTCAATCCCTGGTAACAAAATATATGTTGTGAGATATATTATACACACACAAACAAGTATATATATCAAAACATGTACTATGAGTTCAGAATAATAAATATTTGGTTATTAAAACTTTTTCAGGGCTGGGGTTGTGGCTCAGTAATAGAGCACTCGCCTAGCATGTGTGAGGCACTGGGTTCAATCCTCAGCAGCACATATAAATAAAATAAAGCTAAAAAAACTTTCACAATTTTACCATTTATAGAAAGTGCAAAACTGGCCAGACATGATGGCACAGTCCTGTAATCCCACTGGCTCAGAAGACTGGAGCAGGAGCATCACAAGTTCAAAGCCAGCCTCAGTAACTTAGCAAGACTCTGTCCCCAAATAAAACATAAAAAAGAGCTGGGATGTGGCTCAGTGGTTAAGTGCCCCTGTGTTCAATACCCAGTGCCCCAAAAAAAGAAAATGCAAAAATTGTCACGCGTAGCTTCAAAAGTTATTTTACTTGAAACCGAGGGTTAAAAAAAAAACTCTGACATCTTCCTATGCATATCAAAGTACATGCTAATATTCAAACTTTGAGACTATATCTCAATGTTCCCTACTAGTACTCCCAAACAAGAATATATTCAAAGCAAAAATGAAGTTACCTGCTGAAAACCATTTTGACCTAAAGATGGCTCAAGAGTGAACTTCAATTTTGTATCAACTCCTAAAAGAAAAATACGTAAATCATTGTTATTCATGGAAATTATGACAAATCATATCAAAAATATGAATAAAACCTTGATTCTACTGAATAACTGTTTAAATTTTTAAAACCAGATATTTTTACTAAATTTTAGCCAATTTTGTTAAAATAAAAAGCAAATGTATTCATTATTAAAACAGGAAGATACCATATGGCAATAGAATAGAGCTTATCACCTGGGATGGTAATTTCCACAGCTACCTGGAATAGTGCCAAAACAAAACAAAACCTGGCGCCACAGGACCAGAGTTACACACACCTCCATTCAACCTTGGTTCTCACACTCAAACCAACTGCTTCACCCGTCTCCACATCAATTCCTTTATCTTTAAAATTAGAACAATAATGTCTATCTCTGAGGACTGTTGTGATAGCTAACTGTAAATCTCCAGGTACAGTGTAATCAATATTAATGAAAGGTAGGAAGATCATTCTCTACTTAGAGTTTGTTTTTCCAGGACGCTTGAATGGACTAAGATTATTAAGATAACTTTAGTGGAATATCCAAAGCTATAAAATAATATTATGGGGCTGTGGATGTAGTTCAGTGGTAGAGCGCTTACAAGGCATGGCCAAAGCCCTGGGTTCAATCCCCAGCACCAGAGCAAAGAAGAAGAAAAAAAAAATACACACATATATGTCATTGCCTTTCCTTTTGATCCATTATAACAATTCTATTTGGAGATTTTTATATTTTTTAAATATTTATTTTTTAGTTATAATTGGACACAATACCTTTATTTATTTATTTTTAAGTGGTGCTAAGGCTCGACCCTAGGGCTTCACACATGCTTAGGCAAGTGCTCTAACGCTGAGCCACAACCCCAGACTGATGGAGATTTTTATATTTTTTAAATTCTGTCTTAATGGACGTATTCATTGAAGATAAAACATTATGTATATTAAATTACAAACTACAAACTAAACACATAATTGAACTCTAATCCCAAATAATCAACAACTTTAGATAATCTTCTTTGATAGAAATATATGGAACAGAAGTATATAAATTGGAAAGGATATAAAGGTCTTCATTCAAAATTCTGTATTAGAATTATGTATTGTTATTAAAATGAAATTACATGTTTAAATTCTATAAAAATAAAATCATATCTTAAAATACTATAAATCCTCTTTCTACAATTTCAAAATCAAGTACATGATCTTTTAAATCACTTTTTAAAAGACTTATTGTTTGTAATGCATTCCGCTGTCATGTACAAATTTAAAAAATAATAATAAAGACATTGCTTTTAAGTCCAAGAAATACCAAACATTATCAATAACATTCAGTTTTACAAATTACAGAAATCAAATTATATTTTGCCTACAAGTTATTGTTACAGGTTAGGCATGTTGAAAATCTACACATTTTCAATGCTGAGGGGTGGTATGAACAGGAACAATCTTTAGAATTTATAAAATATAGTAAGAGTAATAACAAAGTAGATTGGTCTTTTAAAGGACAAATCTTGGAGACAAGAATCAGGAAAGAGATGTGTCTGATTTTCCCAGGTCCATGACAGGATGCAGATGTTCTTCTTGGAGCCCTGGAGGAGTGCTGTGGATACACGGTATTGAGACCTAGATTTCTTTTAATATTTAGCTTTTAGATGGACACATATCTTTATTTATTTTTTTATTTATTTTTATGTGGTGCTGAGGATCGAACCAAGGGCCTCGCACGGTGCTATGTGAGAGCTCTGCCCTGAGCCACAACCCCAGCCCTGGGACCTAGATTTCTAAAGTCAAGCTACGGTAGAAATATCAATGCCTTGATATTTCTCTTCAAAGCTTTAGGGTCAAAACCACACTCTGCCTGGATAGATGATCATCTTCTTGGGAGAAAAATTAAGTACCCAACTGATTCTCATCTCTGTAAGATGATTTAAATGAAGTTGGAGTGTGCCTCTAGCTCCAAAGGCATTTTAATAAAAAAAACTGTGTTGGGAGGGTGCTGTCCAGGAGCAGGGTGCTGAACGGAGGAGTGTATAATCATTATGTTTGTTTTACTGCAATTAAGACCAATAAGTCAGTCCCAAGCTGACTTATTCCTGCTGCCCTAAAACTGCAGGATTTCTTAACGTGTTTGACCAAATATCCTCTGACTTTTCTGGAGCACCTGCTGGGCGTCATACAGATTGCCTTTCCAAGCTGAAACCCAGCAGGAGTTGGTTAGCCAAAACCACAACTATTTTCCCATAATCAAAAATGAGTCAGAGAATTTAGGTGGAATTGATCATCTGCTGCCTGCATACAAAAGCTTAAATCAGGTCATTTTCACCCCCTTTTCTTCTAACTGAATAAAGGAGGAAAGAAGGTTTAAGTTTCATCTGATAATCACAGCTGCTCAGGATTCAGAAATATAAAACACTTTTAACATGGGAAGGAGATTTTTTTTTCCTTTTTAAAGAGAGGTAAAAGAAGATGACGAATAAATACTACAATTTCTGCAACTAGACACTTCTGTGGGGAGGAAAACAAAGAAACCACGAGGTTCGGAAGGCAGCAATGCTTTCCATCCTTTGGGACTTAGAGCCTGGCCTGAATCCCCCACAACTGGCTGATAACAGGTCCCAGCAGTCGCTGAGGGGCGGGCAGTGGAGATGACCAACACTCTTGGAGCCCAGCCCGGGGCCACTCCAGGGAAAGGTGATCGCCAAGCACCGTTGCGAGTACAGCTGGCTCCCTTTGCATTCAGCTGGCAGCGGCAGCCTCTTAAAGCGCCCGGGAGAGACGCTGGGTGGTGGAGCTGACGCTGAGTTATGCAGCCTAGAGAAGCAGGGATGTGTAAACACAGGCTGTTGGCAGAAAGGGCCTATCCTACCACGGCCAGGCGTGCTCCCAAACCTTACCTACAGCAAGGATCTCCTGTCTGCTCCCTACCAAGGCTCAAATTAGAGGGTTCAGACAGGCTGACCCTGGGACTCATTACAGGCACACTCAGGAAAGCATACATTCGCTTTTTGCTTCGCAGTCGCAGCCTTCCCCTCCGACCTCTGGTGTCAACCCTGTGCCCTTCTCCACCCCACACACCTCTTTCAAGGTCTGGCTTCCTGCGAGCCCGGAGCACTATAGGTGGCGCAGCCTCTGATCGCGGGGGCAGCCTCCCGCACCTCCCCACCTCGCGCAGGAAGCCGGCTCACAGGCCGCGGGGTGGGGGTCCGCGGGCGGGAGCAGCCCATTCTTCGCGTCTCAGGAGGCACTGCTGGTGCCCAGGCCCTGGTCCACGCACTGTGCCCTCCCAGGCCGACCGAGCTCCGCCAGCACCAAGCCACAGCGCCTGGCCTAAGCGGAGTCCAGCGGAGGCTAGGGTGCAAGCAGCACCGCATCCAAGGCGCCACGCTACTTTCCAGCACCCCATCTGCAGCCCCGGGTCCTCACCCGGCTCCAGGGTGCAGAGCAGCCGGGGCGCGGTCCGCGAAATGCAGCTGCGCTTCTTGAGCACATTGCTCAGGATGGTGCCCACGCCACCGCCGCCACCACTCTGTCGCTTCAGGCATCTCCCCCCGCGCCTCAGGGAGCTGGTCAGCTTGTCCTGCCGCATCCAAGAGCACCCCGGGATCCGGCACCGCCGATGTCCTCCTCGGTCCCCGCTGCCTCGTCGGGGTAGCGGCTTCAGGCGCAGAGCTCAGTGAGTCCAAGCTGACGAGGGTGCCTAGGAGCAGCAACCAGCCCTCCAGGGATCGAGAGGACCTGAGAGCACCGTGGGAGCCGCCGAGCATCGGGAGGCGGGCAGGCATCTGCAGTGCGGAGCCTGCACAGCTGAAGCAGGAAAGGGCTTGGAGCGGGGAGGGAGGGAGGGCGGGAGCCAGTGAGCAGGAGAAGAAGGCGGCTCTCCCGCCCCCAATCCCGGCATCGCTGTGCGCAGGCGGGGCAGCCCCCGCCCTCGAGCCGGTAGCCGGGGCGTCAGGGAATCCGGAACCACTAGGAGACCAAAAACAGTTTTCCGCGCTTCTGCCAGGAGAGAGGCCAAGAGGATTGGAGAGGGCTCCAAAGGGAGCCAGCTTCAGGTGCAGAACACCAGCAAGCTGCAAGTGCCCACCTCATCTAAGCAGCCTTGGAACAGAAGGTCAGTCGACACAGGACAAATCTGGCAGCGTGGCAATGAAGCTGACAGATGGTGAAGTACAATCTTCCCCCCAAATTGCGTTAAACTCTTTCCTGGCAGCTTAGGGAGGCCTTTTAAAATGTGGTTTTTTAAAGGAAAAAAAAAAACTTTTTTAAAATGGTCATTTCTCTTAGAAAAAAATGGACTTTTGGAAAAGTATTCTCATTGAAGGGCAGTTTTATTTAAAAGAAGTGGTTCTTCATCTCTCCAGAGCTTCATTAGTTCTGAGCTAGTATTAACCATCCTTGCTGTTAAAAAGAAAAAAGCCATTCTTAAAACAATGGAATATTTACCACAAAAATGAATGAGGAAGAGAAGGGTGGGGTATAAAGATATTTGTATTTGCTATTCTTTGGAAACAGAAACACTAGTTCAATGAACCAAAAGTGAAATTTAAAAACTGGGAGGGGTACAGTGTGAAGATTGGAATGAAAAGCTGAGCTTTCTTTGGATTTGGCTTATGTAGTTTTTTCAATATTTTTTTAGTTGTTGATAGACCTGTATTTTATTTATATTCAGTGCTGAGAATCGAACCCAGTGCCTCACACATGCCAGGCAAGTGTGCAACTGCCTAGCCCCAGCCCCAGCCCTGCCTTATATAGCTTTGACTGTGGAATAATGTTAACAATATTAATAAAATTTATGAAGAAGACTCTAAAGTCTCAAAAATGAATGAAAGCAAATGAACCTAACTAAACAGCCATTGATAGTATAAGAACACAGAAAAAAATAATTGATTTAGAACACAATATGACTTTCATTGACAGTGGTATATATTCCAAAAGCAAATAGAGCTGAAAGAAAATATTAATTTCATTGAGGAGTATCATTATTATTATGAATAATATTG